CAGGCCGGGTAAGCAGTTGTTGTTTCAGCCCTGTCGTCCCTTCAGAAAACTGCCTGGTTGAGAATGGGATTCCCCAAATGGATTGTGATAATCTCGAATGAAATATGGGTTTTGTTTACTCCCCAAACCAAATAATTCTGGTTTATTATACGCAAATAACTATAGTATCCACGGGGTTTATAAACCAACTTATAACTGGGGGGGCACCACATTGTATAAACCAAGAGAGGTACCGATTCCACATAGTTTTAACCTATTTTTCAGGCCTATGTAAGTGAATATCACCACAAAATATGGCCTGAAATATGGTACTAACGTACCTCCATTTTAGGATCCTGAAGATCTCCCATTGACCAGGGGTTTTGAACATTGCATAGAAAATGACCCATTTATCGACGATTTGAATCATGATTTACCTATAAAAAATGATGATGATTTGCCATAGCTACATTATATTACCAAAATGTATATTGCATAATCAAGGGAAACCAGGAAGTCTGATATTGTCAGTATCCCATTGCATTCCCATCATATCACATACAGTAGGGTTTATAATGGCTTATAATCAATAGTTATGTCTAGATGTATCACAAGCCTGTCAAGTTATAACAAGTTATACAGTAGTATCACCGGTTTCCATGGCTACATTGAATTACCAAAGGGTATATGACCTGTCATCTGTCTTTCATGGAAAGAAATCAATATCTTTCTTCTCCGAGCTCGGGCCGGAATAGAGATCTTCTCGGGCTGGGTAGACTTTGACCCGCCGAAAATTGCGGAGCAAGCACTTTGTTGCCCCAGTGAGAAGAGTTGCCACACCAAGCGGAGCAAGACCAGAAAAGAATGAGACGAATTCAAAATGATAACGGTGTAGTGAAATATGGCTATGAGTCAAAACCCATCCTGTGTACCCAACAAAAATATGGTAATAATACTAGGTTTAAACCCCATATCTTGAATGTGTTTTCAAAATCTCGAAGAAGTGGAAAGCTTCTCACCATCAACAGCAGAGCCTCTCCGCTGTGGGACCGCATTTTTTAGTTGTATAAATGGATATAGAACCATATTATGCCCCAGTTACAATATGGGATATCCCCAGATGTGAATGTTGGTTTATAACCCCCATGAATACTATAGTTATGTGCATATAATATTCCATAGTTGTTGGAGTTATATTCACCAACTTAGCCATCGATTTCACGGGGGCCCCACATTGTATATATATGGGATATTCCCATTTATATAGCCATAGGAATAGCCTTTAGGGTTGGTTTCAGGAACATACTGAACATAGAAATGTACTGAAAAATACCACCTCACTAAAAAGATGACAATTACATGATTTTGTGCGGCGACTAATTATACCATAAAAGGCCTCCCGAAATCAGAATCGTCTGAATGAGACCCAAGAAAAACGCCAAGCACATGAGTTTAGATACGGTGTTCAATCCACAACTCGGTAAAACAACTATGACAACTGTGACAAACCCAAGGAAGACCACGAGAATGCAAGCATAACAAAACACATTGAATAAGGAACACATGTTGTCAAGGGAATGATGTACACATGCTGTCGGGAACCGTCAAATTCAGGGAATTTGACCCCAAATCAACTGATTTGGTGTCAGATGTCAATATGAAAAGTGATCCATGTATGGTATATATGCTAACATTTGGGATACATTGATTGTAAATGTTACCATATGTATATATAGCATACATGGATCCTATGGGATATGAAAAGTGATCCGAATCTTGGATGGCACAAAAATCAACATCTTCCATCCGAAGATCTTCAGATCTTTCGGGGACTCCCCAAGATACATCGATCGTTCATCCATCATTTGGTGGTTTTTTAATATAAACAGATTTCCCCAAAATAACAAACTAGACGACGGATGGCCCGAGAGCGTAGAGGAGCAGGGTCTTCTCTTGTTAGTATGGAGACACCATATTAGAAACAATATATTAAAGATGTGTTATAGGCAGTCGAGAAGAGGAGTATTAAGACAAAATAGCAGAAGTGCAAGACAATAGTTTGCATCGCAAACATTTTTACACACAGAAACTTTTACACACAGAAGCTTTTACACACAAAAGCTTTCACACACAGAAGCTTTTACAGACAGACACTTTCACACACAGACCCTTTTACACACAGACGTTTGTACACACAAAAGCTTTTACACACAGAAGCTTTTACACACAGACGCTTTTACACAGACACTTTTACACACAAAGCTTTTACCCACAGAAGCTTTTACAGACAGAAGCTTTTACACACATACGCTTTTACACAGATGCTTTTACACACATACGCTTTTACACACAGACACTTTTACACACAGACACTTTTGCACACAGACGCTTTTACACACAGACACTTTTGCACACAGACGCTTTTGCACACAGACGCTTTTGCATCACAGAGGCTTTTACACACAGATGCTTTTACACACAGAAGCTTTGACACACAGCACACAGAAGCTTTGTACACACAGAAAAATCACAATTTTCCTCAGTTTTTGGCGATCGACCATCATTTCGTGCGAAAGGGTTGCAACGGGAACCCGGCAATCGCAATTTTACCTCAGTTTTTGGCGATCGAACCTCATTTCGTGCGAAAAAGATGCGCGGGACGACTTGAACTCTCACTTTTACCTCAGTTTTTGGCGCTCGAACCTCATGTCGTGCGAAAGGGTTGCGCCGGACGACTTGCAAATCGCAATTTTACCTCAGTTTTTGGCGATCGAACCTCATGTCGTGCGAAAGGGTTGCGCGGGACACCTTGAAATTCGCAATTTTTACCTCAGTTTTTGACGATCGAACCTCATTTCGTGCGAAAGGGTTGCGCGGGACACCTTGAAAACGCAATTTTACCTCAGTTTTTGGCGCTCTCGAACCTAATTGCGTGCCGTGCGACGAAGGGTGCGTTCGTGCCGGGGCCGTCTCGTTGGCACTGCCCCTGCTCCCGCCTTCAAAAGAGAAATAGAAAAGAAGGAGAGGGCAAGAGGGCAAGAGGGCAAGAGGTCAAGAGGGCAAGAGGGCAAGAGGGCAAGAGGGCAAGAGGGCAAGAGGGCAAGAGGGCAAGAGGGCAAGAGGAGAAGATGTGAGATGAGAAGATGTGAAGATGAGAAGATGTGAGAAGATGTGAGAAGATGTGAGAAGATGTGAGAAGATGTGAGAAGATGTGAGAAGATGAGAAAATGTGAAGATGAGAAGATGTGAAGATGAGAATATGTGAGAAGATGTGAAGATGAGAAGATGTGAAGATGTGAGAAGATGTGAGAAGATGTGAAGATGAGAAGATGAGGAGAAGATGAGAAGATGAGGAGAAGATGAGAAGATGAGGAGAAGATGTGAAGATGAGAAGATGTGAAGATGAGAAGATGTGAAGATGAGAAGATGAGAAGATGAGGAGAAGATGTGGGGGATGAGAAGATGTGAAGATGAGAAGATGTGAAGATGAGAAGGTGTTTGTTTTTCAGACCCCCACTATTGGAAGAACCCTGCGCTCAGACGCTCTCGGGAAAAAAAGACATTCTCCATGTTGTGTTGCTTGAACTCCTGGTGTTGTTTCCTCAAATCGGCTAAAAGGATGCTAACGGGAACATTTAGAGGAAATTATTTTAAACCTATGATTTCCTATTATTTCAAATGAACATGTGCAATTTTATGCAATAGATGACAGTTTCGACCAATGGGTGATGACCAGGAGTAGCCTATGTTTTGGACGTGAACTGCATTTTTACCTCACCTGGCCCCTCAGACCACAAACTCCTCTTGGGGTGCACTCTGACGGCAGATGAATTGGGATCATTCTTGGAGTTACCCTCTGGTAATTTAACATTTATAGTTGATTTACCCACTAAAAATGGTGATTTTCCATGGTTATGTTAGTTTACCAGAGGGTAGGAACCATTCCTGGTGAACACATGGTTTTCTCTGTTGTCAGAGCCGGGGAGCCCCCGGCTCATCCCATGAAGAAAAATCTCTGTTTCACCCATCCCATGGTGTCATGGGATGGGGGGTATACAACATCTGGTTGGTGGTATACCTATCAACCTACCATTGTGGTTAATATACTATTAATAATGGTTAATATATGGTTAATGATGGTTAATAATCATCTGGTTGGTGGTTGAGCCCCACCCCTCTGAAAAATGATGGAGTTCGTCAGTTGGGATGATGACATTCCCAATATATATATATGGAAAAATGTTCCAAACCACCAACCAGACATTTTCAGACGAACCCACATAAAACCATGCAGAGGGGCTCCGAAGTGTTGCAATGTAAACATGTTCTTCTATCAAAGAAGTCCAAGTGTGTGTATGTGGACAACAAAACATCCAGTGGTGTAACCCCCTGACCAAGCATCTGGATAAATTACAATAATCATCATAATCGTTGACTGAACTAAAACATTGGGCCATTTAATTTGGGATAGTTACTGCCGCTAACCAGCATTCCAGTGATGTCATAGTGAGGTCGTAGCAATTTATGGAGAATAATCCTTATTCAAATATTGAAACTTATTTAGAATCGGGTGTCCCTCGAACCAACCATAAATTCATCCCATTCTCTATAATTAAATCCACTATTCAATAGTTTACTGTTTGCAACTTACACAACCATTGCTGGATAATTTCTCTTGAACCAAACGAAAATCTTCATCCCATTCTTTATTGAATACAACCATTGCTGGATAAATTACCATATAACTCACCAACCAAAAATTCATCATAACTCGATTATAATCAAATAAACCATCATTCTGGGTAAATTATAATATTGCACTAATCTGAATCTTGCGGCCATTTGGGGATAATTCCTCTTACTAACTACGATTATAGTGAGGTCGCAGGGTTCGGTCGTTATGGTTTAGATTTATAGATATTCATAGATGATGTTCCTTTTTCTCCAACAATAAATGGGAATTTCCCGTTAAATGAGCAATCAAAAATACCAATCCATTGAATAAACCATCATTCATAAATCCATGGTTCACAATATAATTGGATCATGCCAGGCGCTGCAAAGCTGGGTTGACCTCAGAGGCCAGGCGTTTTTGCGATGCCAAGCGTTTTGGCGACGTTGTATCTCAATATCTCCCCGCTGCGCAGACACATCTATATATGTACTATATACTTATATCTATGTGATATATATATATGTAATATTTACATAAATGTAATATGTATATTTATATATACATATGTAAAATATGCAAATAACTATATATGTATATATGTAATATATGTATATATGTAATATATGTATATCTAATAATCTAATATATGTATATGTAATATGTATTTGTAATATATATATATATATATACGTATGTATGTAAACATACATAGTATAAATCCAAATTATTGTTGGCGAAAATGGTTAAGTAATGCTCAGTATCAAGCGGCGCGGATTTGGCAGATGTGATCCTCCAATGTCCAAGTGTCAGGGATTTTTATCGCTGCCTTTTTGTTAAGGTTAGTTGAACTGATGGTCAAACTGTAATTAAACCCTATCTGTTACATATTTTGTGGGGATATTCCCTTACATAGGCCTGAACAATAGGCCTTATATATGGTAAGTACCTCCAATTTAGATTCCTCTTGCATGGCCATTGATACTGGTAAACTACTGTAACATACGTGTGGAAAATTGCCCACTTAGCTGGCTGATTTGCCTATCAAACATGTTTTTGTTCTTTTCCCATAGTTACCCGGCCTGGTAAACATACAAAAAGCTATTGAACATTGCCATTTACCGTTGATTGTCCCATTAAACATTGTGATTTTCCATAGTTATGTTAGTTTACCAGAGGGTATGTTAAAATACCAAAGGGATCCAAAGGGTATATAACTGTGTTATATTGTGACTATAAACCACGGATCCTACTCTCTGGTACTTTAACATAACTATGGACAAATCACAATTTCCAATATATAGGTAAAACACCCAGCTAAATGGTCCATGTTCATCAAATTTCCATAGCACATTGTTAAATTCCAAAAGGGTAATAGCTAATTATATCCCATCTATCTCATTATATATATATATTCCCATAACACATTCCCACTATATGCAATTTTCCGTAACAAAAACCATGGATCCTCACTACTTCGCCCAAGGCCCAGGGAAGCCTTGGAAATCAGCAGCTTCGTCTTGAAAGCGTCCCTCTGACTTACAATGACAACCATCAGGGTAAATTATCATGAATTATCATGATTCACTCATCTGAAATTTGGTGACTTGGTGATGATTCCCTATGCATTCACCATTCCAGGGATCGGGAGAACACGAAGGTGATCGTTATAATTCCCATCGAATTTCCCATCTAAATTCCCAGAAAATGTTGTCCCACGATTTCTACCATTTTCCGTAACAAAAAACATGGATCCTAACATGGACAAATCTTAGATACCCTGCAAAAAATGACAGATTCTTAGCTGGTGAATGCACACGATTAGATAATCCCATTAATACCAAAAGACTAAAGGATTAGTCCCTATCCATCCAAGATTGACCTAGTGTTTATCTATTGTTGGTTATAAGGAGGTTTCCTAATATTATTCACCATAATTAAGCACATTAAGTCAACAAAATCAAACAGCCGTTTGTATTTCGAATGCTGAGCCCTGCCGAGTGTCCAGAAAATGTAGTCCCACGATTTCTACCATTTTCATCCATTTTCCGTAACAAAAACCTATGGATCCTAACTTGCACGCACCTAACCATGGTAGTGGACCGAGTGGCTATAGTCTTGCCGGGAGGTGCCCCCTTTGGAATGGGCAGGCCTCAGGGGATCAGTGTTTTGGTGCTCATGATGCTTAAATATCATAATAAGATCTTAGATATCATAATGCTAAAATAATATGGTTAATGCTCATTGATTCTGTTAATACATGTTAGTACAGTTGATGCTCAAATATCATGATAACAGTTCATAGTGCTTTTATAATAGTGTTTTGGACACTGTTCATAATGCTTTTATAATAGTGTTTTGGACACTGCTCATAATGGTACAGAACAGTGAATAATGTTTAATAGTGATGAATAGTTAGTACATAAAGTACATCATCCCGTTCCCCATTCATCTTAAACACCCCATTGTATGGTCCCAATGTGTAAACCCCTATTAAACCATTGGTCTTCCGTGGGGTAGTTTCTGGTTGGTGGTATACCTGCCCCTCTGAAAAATATGAAATTCAGTTGGGATGATGAAATTCCCAATATATAGAAAAATAAAACATGTTCCAAACCACCAAGGTATAGTATCCAATATAGAGGGGATTATCATGGATTATCATGGATTATCACAATCCATGAACTGGAAAATCCATGAAAATCCCCTCAACCATGCAGTAAATCAGGGACAACAGGCTTTGAGTCTTACTCTGCATCACACATATGAATTTCATGGTCCCTATAGTCAGCCTCTGCCATTTTGGCTCTCGTGGCGCTCCAAAAAGCTCCCAAAAGGCCATTAGAACAACTCCTATCCCATCTCTTTGTACTAGCTGGTTGATAGGTTTCCCTACTACGCGCTATGACAATCCCCAATGACCCAGGCAGTACAATTCCCTACAATAACCAATAAACCATCAGTTCTCAGTCATCATTTATTTCCCTGTTTGACACTTAAAACTTAAACCCCCAATGATGGGTGTATTTTTGAAAAAATGCCAACTACTGCTAATTATATAGTATTTCACAACCAATCAACCATCATTTATGTCCATTTATATCATTTATCAAGTACATCCCGATATCTATCATAGTTAAACATTCATAAATCTACCAGAATCTCACCCATACTCCAAGGGGCTAACTTTCCCAGTTTGGGCGACGAGGGGTTAGAATAAACCCCTAGATAATCCCCTTTGCATGGCCACATGGCCAATCAGCCAGATACCCTGCATAGCTGATGAACGCAGACAATTAGAGAATCCCATTACCGAAAGACTAGTTAGGATTAGTCCATACCCATCCAGTCGATTGACCTAGTGTTCATCTATTGTTGGTTATATATACATATATATACATTGTTGGTTATATGGAGGTTTCCTAAAATTATTCACCATGATTAACCATATTAAGTTAACCATAGTCTATTTTGTTCCCAGAAAGTAGTCCGGCTACCTACCATTTTCATCCATTTTCCGTAACAAAAACCATGGATCCTAACTTCAACATTATTCACCATTATTCACCATTATTAAGTCACCATTATTCACCATCATTCATCATGAATCATAATTAACCATATTAAGTCAAACAAATCAAACAGCCGTTTGTATTTCGAATGCTGAGCGCCGAGTGTCCGTCTCTGTTCATGCCACAATGACCTCAATTTCAGTCAGGTGACCCACAAGTTCGAAGGGGGTCAATTCTGCCATCAGAAATGGTGAGTTTTTTATGGTTCAATGGATTTCTTCAACAGAAACCATGGTGATTTTTGGCAAGTTTTTTAAGGGCTTAACGCTTGTTAGGGTCTGTTAAAGGCCTGTTCAGGGTTCGTTACGGGCTTATTAGGGGCTGAAGGATTATTCACCACCAACAACCACCGTCAAAATGGCAGTTAAGGGGGGGCAAATGTTTGGCTAGTTATTTAATGGAGCTACGACAAATCACAATTTTGTGATAGGTAAATCATGGTAAATCATCATAAATAATCTGGAAACGAAGCATGTTCATCCATTTTCCATAGCTATGTTATATAACCAAATGGTCGATGATGGATGGTTCACCTCTTTGACAACCATCGTTCTGCGTTCGACAACGCGGTGCTGGGCCCGTTGGGCACTACCACCAGCCAGATGGGAATCATCTTTTCAGCTTGAACATGTATTGGGATGTATTGGGTATGTTTCAAACTTACAAACCTGCACTTGGTCATGACAATTGTGAAAGCTTATTGATATTCCACTTGTGAAGAGTTCAGATCACTTCAGTGTATCTCAGTTGCCATATTGTTGACGACATACCACTTCTCAACATTTAAATTATACATGTTTATAGTTTCTGGCACAATTGTGGACGAGTGAGATGGTTCGGATGGCTAACCTTAGGCATGCGACCCATGGCCCATGATTGACAGCTGCATTGACTGTGTCATATGTTGCAGTCATCATGGTGGACTTGACTCTGACATTTTTTGGGTAGCTAAATGCAGTTAAACCCGCAGTATTGCTGCAAGGCTAAGGTGGGTTATAAGTCCAACAACTTGGGTTTATGGTAGATATATCTATACTTAATGGGGATTAGAAACCAGCAAACATCACTGGGGGGCACCACGTGTGGTTTATCCCCTATCTTTGGTGCTTAAGTCCCGCATGTTGTGACCTGTACTGCGTCCGAAGCACAACCAGTGTAGCGGGACATCTTCTGCACTGTTCTTGTCCATCCGCAGTTCCTGGCAACGCTGCCACGTCATGGCGGGTTTTCTGCGCATGGTTATCATTCAAGTAGAACTGATTAGTACAAGGTGGTGCCGCATAGTTAGCTAAGTTGGTTTTTGATTCCAATAACTTAGCTTTATGGATGTTTATGGTAGATATATCATATGATATATCTATACTTAATGGGGCTTAATGGGGCTTGTAAACCAACAAACATCACTGGGGGGCACCGCCTTGAACACGTACAATCCATATACAATCCATATGTCACTGGGAGTATTACATATTTCGGGCTTATAATCTGTTTTTTTGCCCCTTGACGATTCCCGGGATGCAAAGTATGCCCCAATTTTAAATGGTTAGTCTATATCCATCTAGGTTCTTTGGTCTACATAACATATATCCACCCTTTTGAGATGTACCTCCATTTCTTTGGGTTTACCATTCCCATATACCAAGCTTGTTCCTTATACTTCTTGTGCAAACATCACTTTTTCATACTTTTTCCAATACTTCCTCTGCAAACATATTGAAAACATAGGGCGAATGAAGTACACGTCAGTCAGCTCCTGGGGTTTCATCCAGGACTTACATGAATGCGAAAACCATTCGAAGTTTCAATGCTGTCTGTGACAGCATGGGAGGGCCCTTTGTTTGGAAAAGATTGGCTGACCTGTCACAAATCAGAACTCATTTGTTTCATGTTCAAAGGGCACCTGCAGCAATGCGACATCCCAGTTTCAGATTGACATCACTGGAGGACAACGTGCCAGTCTTTACACCCTGGTAAATTAACTTGTTGACCATGAAAATCACCAATTTTGAATGGTTTCACATTCGTCTAACCCAAGCCCGAAAAATTCTGCCAGGGTCGAACTGTGAATTTACCAGAGGCTAATGGTTGTGAGCAATATCAGCAAGGCTGTCACCACTGCTGTGCTCCAACTGCTTGGAGAAACTGGCCATGGAATCCACGGTGCCACGGTTGACCCCTACAAAAATGATCCCAAAGTGTCCCCACGATGTAGAAATCTCCCCTTTTTTTATACCACAATGTGGGGCCCCCGTGAAATCGATAGCATACAGTTGGTTCACATAACTCCAATGTCACTATAGTTTTTTTTGACGCAAATAACGAACTAGTATTCATGGGCTTTATGTTCACCAACATTCACACCACGTTTGGGGGGTCCACATTGCATGCTTGTTTACTGAAGAGTAGCCGGCTTCAAAACTGGGGTTGCTGGTTTCAATCGGTTTGGTTCGGATCTTGAATATGCTGAAGGGCTTCCCCCAAAAAATCGACAGCTGCTTGGTGGTTGAGCCCTACCCCTCTGAAAAATGATGGAGTTCGTCAGTTGGGATGATGACATTCCCAATATATGGAAAAATATATGTTTCATGTTTCAAACCACCAACCAGGACATATACAAGCCTAGTAGATTCCAGAAATGGTGGATGAAAATCTCAGCAAATCCATGGAATTAAGAACATATCGACCAGAACGGTGTCAACAAATGGATAGTTCTCCTACTTGAAGGATCATCAAAATGGAGGTTTCCAGAAGTGGTGACTTTTTCCCAATAGCTGGATGGTAAAATCATGGGAAATCCTATAAACATGTTAAACCACATTTCTGATATTTCAGGAAACCTCGAAATTAGTAACTGGATAAGAAGTTATGGTAGTTGTTCCCCACTCGTAAATGGAATAACCCCACTTGTCTCGCGCACGTGCCGCGAGACAAGTGCTTTTTTCCATGATTACAAGCCAGTTGCTCAGTGGATCCTCCAAACCATAATGCGATTGGAAAAATCTCAGAAGCTCCTTAGCTCCCCATGGAAAACAGGGAATATATCTGAGTAAATTATAATATTTCACTAACCTGAATCTTGCGGCCATTTGGGGATCATTTCCCCTACTAACTATGATTTCCAGTGAGGGAGACCAGTGAGGTCGTTATAATTTACCCAGATATATACATATATATATGATTATATTAATGCTACCCACAGCTCCGACGCGTTCCCTCCTAACCACTGGAAAATAACAACTTGAACTTTTAGTGGGAACAATCAACTCACCCATAGGATCCATGGTGCTGCTATATATATGGTAACATGGATCCCATCAATATACCCCAGTCATGTTAGCATATATACCACCATGGATCCAATGAACTAATGGGTCTTAAGCGGTCAATCAGGAAAAATGCCCTGGGTGCCTTCCATTGCCAAACAACGCGTCAGAACATCTTCCATTTTACGTTAAAGGTGACTTTCTCTAGTTTTTCAAATACGGATCCGAACAACGATTGGTGATGTCCGCATGGATTTTCATGTTCTACATATATACCCTCTGGTAAACTAACATAACTATGGAAAATCACTAGTTTCAATGGGTAAATCCCTATAAATGGCCATTTTCAATAGCTATGTTAAATTACCAGAGGGTAGACTGCATGTTCCGCTCCTTGTCCATCTTTTCCTTAAAACAAACGTGCATGTTTCATGGATTTTCCCCGATGTTTCCCATGTGTTTTTTGATGTTTTCTGGTTGGTGGTTGAGCCCTACCCCTCTGAAAAATATGAGTTCGTCAGTTGGGATGATGACATTCCCGACTGAATGGAAAGTCATAAAATTCCATGGTTCCAAACCACCAACCAGCCATTATTCATCATAATTAACCATATTAAATCAATCATAGTTAACCATATTAACCATATTATTCACCATGATTAACCATGTGTTTTCGATCTTTTTCACGACTTTTCCCATCTTTTTCGAGGATACCCTGTGGCACATGACCGTCGCGCCTGAAAGTTTCCATGACGTCTTCCGGGGGAGGTCGCGCCAACCTGAGCTTCCACTTGGGAGCCTCCTGGTTAGCCTCCTGGTATACAAAAAACGATGAAAGTCCACGAAGTCAATGGTAAAATCATGGGATTATCCGGGATATGTCATATCATGTCCTGAAAACTTTACATATTTTTACCACCCATGACTGGGAATGGTAAACATAGCACCGAAAAAAACATGGTGATGACTGGGGGATGGTCTATGACATTGTTTTAACCAAATTAATGGTTAGTATATATATATATATTTATTACTCTGGTAAACGAACAGTTTGCGAACTGGAAAATCACAATCTTTAAGTTCGGTAAATCAACGAACTAAATGGGCCATTTTGAATAGCGAACTGTGAAATTACCAGATGGTATTTTATCTCCAACCTTTATTGATTTTCCATAGCTACGTTTGTTTACCAGAGGCTAATCATGTTTTTTTTTGGGTATAAATAATAATCTATCAATGGCCATGTTCCATAGCTGTGTTAAGTTACCGGAGAGTATATGATATGATGGATTTTCCTTAGCACTGTAGAATATAGAATTATCTCAATGAGAGAAAGTCATGTGAATATAAACTGACTTGAGGATGGTGTGAATATATTCCAACAAATGGAACGTTTTATGACATTCACATTGATGTTTGATATCTATAGTCCAACATGTATAATCCCGAAAACAGGACACGCAAAACATGCCCTGCAAACAGGTATTCCTTCCAAAGCCCATGTTCGCCCATGCTAATCATTTTTCTGTATACATACTTGCCGCCAGAGGATAAATGAAAACACTGGCTATAGGCGGCGATTTTGACTTTAGGTTTTCAAGCTAATTATTTAGGGTTTTAGGGTTTGATCTTAAAAGAGCGCTCGCCCTGCGCAGGGATTTGAGCATGTCAAAAGGATATGTGGGAATGGACAGCAAACGTAGGGTTTGCAGCGACCATTCATGTTCAAGGAATCCCAGAAAATGATCTATATCTGACAGACAAAATGTCTTTGAACAACAAAACACAATGTTAAGAAATGTTAACATCTCCATACGAGGTTACTTGATGGTTTTTGCTAGCTGAAAACGCAGAACAAATTCCCTGTTCATAGATGTTTGGCTTAAATTGGATAAATCAATCTGGTTGGTGGTTTTAACCATCTTGAAAAATATGAGTCAATGGGAAGGATGACATACCATTTATGAAATGGAAAATAACACATGTTCCAAACCACCAGCCATATAATTCCATATAAATCCCAATTTCTCAAATACTTTGACCTTCGAGAAAAAAAAACACCTCAGATTTCCCTCGTAAAAGCCGATGTTTCTGGTCCGGTCGAGCACCAGTCGAAAAACCCATGGCTTTTGCGAATTTGGCGAAACACCCCATGGCTGGAGGTTTCCATGGTCATAGGGGTACCCCAAATGGATGAGTTATTTCATGGAAAATCCTAAAATGAATGATTTGGGGTACTCCTATTTTCAGAGACCTCCAGTTGAACTTTGCCACGATTTTTTGAAACCGCCAGTGCTTGAAAATGCTGCAAATATGTCTCTATGATTGAAATGCGCCCAAACATACCCCAGGACACTTTCGTTCTGCAGGGGAACTTTTCGGTCCACATGGCATAGAGTACCGCATCTGAAACTACGTCGAAGATCTTGACGAAGGGCAAGGCAACCCTCGGAGACTGCTGGTACTTCAAGCTGGGAAGTGGAAGTGAAGAAATGAGAATAATATGCTTGTGGTTTCATATGTTTTATATGTTTTTATGTGTTTTAATCTAATATGATATTAATATGGGATACAATGCTTTTTCGCATGTTATTTTTTGTGCGGTTTCCTAAGTCGTGGTGCTACCCCAAATCATCCAGTCGTCATGCATGACAAAATTTTCATACCATTTTAGAACATGGAAATCCATGGTGACGACTGGGCATCCCCCATAACTCAAGAAACTCCCATAATATCTAGGTAAATTACACTAATTTGCTAACCTGAATCTTGCGGCCATTTGGGGATGATTTCCCTAAAATTAACAATGATTTCCAGTGAGGGAGAACAGTGAGGTCGTTATAATTTACCCAGATACAGTAATATGGTTTTATATGGTTCTAATATGGGATGTGCTGCGATTTATTCATCCAGATCCTTTCTGAAAAGACTTTTTTGAAAACCCCACCCCAAATAGTTGCAAAAAAGAGGTACTTGGATCGATAATTTTAGCTAGTTGGCACAAACATGAATCAATGTCTCAGGAAACTGAAACATTCACACTTACTGACATGTAGTGGATTCTAGTGATTCTAGTGCCTTCCCTATCTACAATATGGCCTTTAAGTTGATCTTTGCAATGACTCGGAACATGAAAGAACCATTTTCTTGAGACTGAACCTTACTAACGTTCATTTATGTTTAGGTCTTCTTTTGGTCGTTCTCAACAGTAGAGGTTTAATGTTTGCCCCATTCATGGTGATGGTGGTTTATAAGCCTAAGTCACAGATCATGGGCGATATCCACAAGGCCAAAACCATTCCCATAATTTGTGGTTTATGAAATTGTGTAGGCCCCGATAATTGGGATTATTTTGCTTCATAGCTACTTTAGCACTGCTTTTTCATGATTGAGCAGAGCTCAAAAGCCTCTGTCATTGCATTTAAACTTGGTAGGACAAGAACGGGATTCCGTGTCATGATCATAATCCAAATGTAAAGAGGATAGTGTAATCCCCAAAGCAATCATCAACAGGTGTTTAGTAGCCACTGCTGACGCTTTTCATTGTGGAGCCCATCAAAAAATTGAGTGCTGAGAAGTCATTGTTTTTTTTGTAAGGCAAAACTTACAGGAAACCATAGTTTGGTACAAACAAACCAAGAGGGTTACAGTATCTTTTTTTATATGTAAAGCACGTCTGGAAATTTGGTCATTCATACTCTTCACCCAAGTAATTGACCGCTACGTTTCTTAACGACTCACCAAATCCATCATTGCTTGTCCTTCCTCGACTGTTATTCGGCAATTACTTTTTCGCTACTGTAATGTTCAAATCAATGCTTTTTTTTCCTTCCTTGCCTGCTGACCGGCCTCTGGCGATAGAAAATAAAACTTTTTGGGGCCTGAAAAGTTTTTTTTTTCCTTCCTTGCCTACTGACCGGCCTCTGGCGATAGAAAATAAAACTTTTTTGGGGCCTGAAAAGTTTTTTTCCTTCCTTGCCTGCTGACCGGCCTCTGGCCCCCAAAACAGTTTTTCTAGCCAAGCCCAAGCATGCAACAGAACCAATGCAAGGCTACCTCGTCGAGGTCGGCTAATTCTGATGAGCAAATTAAGGGCTGACCTCGCTAATTCCTGCAACCTGCCTCGTTGCCACGGCTGTCCTCGCTATAATTTGTGCAGAATCATGTTGGTTTGCCATCATGTCAACCCCGGATTACCCCTAGCCATATTTATTGTATGAAATTGTTTCCTGCGGAACCCTAGGGAGAACCCCCTAAGATGTATATTTTTGCGACCCTACCCTGCCAACTAGAGACGATTTGCTAAGAAATTGGTACAGCCCCGGGGTTCTTAATCAGGGGTTGACATTGCTGGTCTCTTCCTGTCATTTCTCAAACCATTAGCAGATTTAGGGAGAAAAACTGTGGCTAAAGAGGGTCACATTGCACAGTCCAAACAAAGGGATCGTCGAGGGCTGCTTCTCGAGGTTCCACCATGCTTATGCCCCAATATGAGCGGTGGTGAAAAAGAGGAGTAATGGGGGGGGTCGGCAACATGCGAAAAAGCTGTCGCCAAAACTGTCCGGATGGAAGCACAAGTGAGTGAGAAGTGGACATAAACATCTGTGATTTCAAGCAGCTGACATCAAATATGTCTGATTTGAAACTGGTGATCAATAAAGTCAAAAATCCCTACGGAAAAAGTACCATGTCACCCAAAAAAAATGGCTGTATCATTTGCCTCCAATGTGTATGAGCCATGGGTGATGGGCGGGATTCCCACTGCTGGTAGAACTACGTGGATCATCCCTTGAAACTGGCTTCAGTGGACTCCACTTTTTTGTTTTTTGCGCTTAACAAAAACCATGGTTTTGCACCAAAAAGTCTCCCCAAATCGTTCAAATCAGCCATATACTGGTTCAATGTGAGGCCCCCAAGATAGCTAAGTTGGTTTATAACTCCAATAACTATGGTTTATGGTACTTATAACTATAGTTACTGGGGCTTTTGTTAACCAACAAACATCACTGGGGGGCCTCACATTGTTGGCATAAGGGACTTTTCTTCCTATTCTGGGGTATCAGAATCCACAGGATCTGAAATCATTTACAGCAGCTCCCCCCCATGTAGTTAACCCGGGCTATGCCGGGCTAAGCCAGGTGACCAAAAAGCGAAGGCGCCCCCAATGACGCAATAGGGGAACTCGGTCAAAGTTGGCAGGCGCATGTTGGGTCTGCTTTAGGGGGATTAAACTGATTCAACACCATATGTGCCCCGTATATCCATGTGGTTTATGGTATTTTATGGTCATCCCACCATCATTAGTCATTCCTTGTTAATGATTGTAACCATTTTTTTAATGAGAGTCAATGGATTGGTTTAAGGGAAAATCTACAGGAAACCATGGTTTTTAGCATCAAATATAGGGGTTTCCTGTAAATTTTCCCATCATCCAATTCTGTGAGAGAGGGGTCTTGAACCAACATCTGTATGGGATAAGTGGATGAACCAACCATGATCTTCTTGAAATCCAAGGTCCAAGGTGCAGGTCTGTAACTAAAACCTGGTTAGTTGATATGCTGGTGGGCCTGCTGCGGTTACATGGAAACAGATGTAACTGGATAGATAGGGAAGTGAATACATACATATTAATTATATATATATATCTCTCTCTCTCTCTCCCTATTTTATATGTATAATAAATATATATATATATATATATTATAATGGATTGATAACCATCTTGGAACTTTTGACTATGGCACATATTGCGGATTCACCAATGAAGGGATTTAGACTTCAAAAACTCACAGCAAAGCCAGGCGCTGGGCCATGCGATGGCTGGGTTCCTCCCAAACAGGGGGGTTGGAAGATGACTGATCCACAATCATCTGAAAAAAAGGCCATTAAAATCGACCATTTACCCTGGTAAACTAACATAACTATGGAACATCACCATTTTCAATGGGAAGATCAACGAACTAAATGGCCATTTTCAATAGCTTTTTGTATGTTTACCAGAGGGTAAGGGATTCTTCTTCCAAATCATTGATATCCATGGTGATGGATGGGGATGGTGAAACGGTGAAACATTCTTGGGCTTTAGCACAATATCAAACATCCACGATCAGTTTAGCATATTCACCGCCTGTTGGGAGGACATCTACGAATCACAACTGCCCCAATCTCTCGTTGGATCGCTGGTCGCAGTGTACCTCCAGATCTTTCAAATACTAACTCCCAAACCTTAGCCATGAAAAGGATGGCTTCCCCTTTCTGCGCCTTCCTGAACTTCATTGTTCACCAAGCTGAAAGAAGGTTTTGGATGTTAAACCATGTTGGATTCGGATGATGCTGTTGTTGTGCTTCGGAAGTCAGTATAAGACGTAGAAGTGACCCAACCATCCTCTGCCACCCCGGTCCCATCAGCGAAGATCAAGCAGCAGGTTCATGAACATATTCCATCTGAGAGCGCGAAAGATGTGATCATTCAGCGATGAGAAAAAAACACTCAACCCCACTGAAATGTCGCGAACACACAGCTCACAACAAGCTGTGTTTTATGTTTTCAGTAGCTCAACAAAATCTGTCCATAAGATATTCTGTGTTAAATCTATCCATACCCATAGGATCCATGTATGGTATATATGCTAACATTTGGGGTATATTGATGGTAAATGTTACCATATATAGCATACATGGATCCTATGGGATATTCTGTATATTTATATACATAGACCAATCAAACCTTAAGATATTCTGCCGAATATGCCGTTGCTCACAACGGAGGACCATCAAAATTTTACTCCCAGACCACTTAGTAAACCACGGTTGTTTTTAACGATTCATCGTGGTTTTCACATTGATTTTCATAATGGTTATTCATATGGATATGGATATTAGTTAACTGGTTGGTGGTATACCTACCCCTCTAAAAAAATATGAAAGTCATTTGGGATGATGAAATTCCCAATATATGGAAAAATAACAAATGTTCCAAACCACCAACCAGTATAAGATTATATTTGTAATACTGGTTCATTCTGATTATATAATAATGCTTAATTCTGGTTAATAATGGTTAATAATTGGAATAATGTGGGTAAAACAATGCCATAAATAAACCACCCATTTTCCTGGGAATGGTAAGTTTATACCTATGAAAATTAAGTGACAACTGGGAGATGGTAAACATGACATTGCTTTACCCTATAAAATAGAGGGTTTCTAGCTGAGGACATCATCTATAAATGGAAGATTCTCTATTTCCAGGTTTGACCTGGAGGGTAATAGCGGTCAGCAGGGCGGCTCCTAATGGCCCAAATACGTTTTGGGGAGACATGTGTGTCAATGGGAGATCTTCAGGATCCAATTGATGGAGGTACCGATTCCATATATAAGGTCTATATAAGGCCTATGTAAGTGAATATCACCACAAAATATTGCCTTATATGGTACAGTACCTCCATTTTAGGATCCTGAAATTCCCATTGATGTGTATTGTCTTTGGAGGTTGTAGCCATGAGTCACGATGTCCAGGGGGAATAATGATCAGCTTGCTAACATGGGGGTTAGGTCTGTAACGCACACCTAAACATGGATGAAACCACTCCATGTCCTTTCAGATCATAATGATCTATGATGATTTAGATTGTCCTCAATCCTCGGTGCCAGTCACCACCATTCATCATCACTGAGGGAGAATCGTGTGTCTGCCCTGCCTGGACTATTTGAAAAGTCATAGGGTCTACATTCTACATACTTGGGGGTGCATTCCACTTGATAAGTGCTGATAAAGTCTACAACCATGTCATACCACAGTTCTGGGATATCCCTGGTAACAATTGCTTTACAACCATATCACATTTTGTAGACATATGGAATAATCCCTTCTCCCTATTACTAAACCCCCCCCAAATACTAAAAACTAGGGTCCCATCTCCAATTTCAGAAAATTTCAGATCGGCCAATTTGACTTTTAATTGATCCCCTTTAGAAAACAAGTTAAAAATAAAGCTACCATTTGTGGGTTTCCCCCCCTAATACTAAAAACTAGTCAACCCCGGGGTGCTTATTATTAGGGTCCGTCCGATTTTTTTTAGGTTTTTTACATTAGGGCTTTTAATTTAGTATTAGGGGGAAGCTTCGAAATCCAATTGTTGGCAATATGTTAATTGCGTTATATAAAGAAATACTTATATAATTAATCCCCCTTGCAATTAATTAGGCGGGAGGTGCTGGACCCCTCGATCCAGTAGAGGGCCCCAAGGTCAGGTACCAAATTGTTTTTTACTAAATCAATCTCTGCTCTACAGACTAGGAGGTTACCTTCTACAAAATCAAGAACCTTCCACAAAAAAATCTGACAAGGCAAATTCATCTTTTCTACAAAATCAATAGCCTCACATGAGAAAGTATCAAGAAAACATATGTTGTTTTTTTTGAGTAAAAACCTCCAGGATGATTCTGTAGAGATTTTGGTTAGAGTCGATTCTGTAGAGATTGCTTGTTTGTCTTTGATTTTGTAGCATGAAAGTGTTTACAAATTTTACAAGTCCCATCCAAAGTCCCAAAGTGCCTGTCTTTGATTTTGTAGCATGAATGCACTTACAAGTTTTACAAGTCCCATCCAAAGTCCCAAATGCCTGTCTTTGATTTTGTAGCATGAGTTTGTTTACAATTTTCACACGTCAGTCCAAGATGTCCCAAATGGCCAGCCTTTGATTTTGTAGCATGAGTTCCTTTACTACAGAATCAAAATCTGATGGATCATATTACTACAGAATCAAGAAACTAAATTCCACATCTGACTTCCCTCTACAAAATCAAAAATCCATACATGTTGGGCAAAAAGGGTTTCAGGGGAACTATCCTTTACAGAATCAAATTCATTCCCTCTTACCATCTCTCACCACTACATAATCAAGATCTGAAGATATGACATTGAGGGGCATGCTTTACTAGAAAATCAAAGACCTTAGGGTGTCGCAAGCCTTATCTCTACAAAATCAGTTCCATGACCAAAATGTGAGGTTTTGTGCACTTCCTGCTGAGGGTTGGGGCCCCCATTTAATGTTGGATGGACAATAGTAAAGCGCGTGCAATAGCTACAAATAATTTTCAGAATCTGATTTTTCAGCCCCTATTAATTTTAAATTAGGCCTTATTGATTTTAAATTACAAACATCAACCTTGGTCCAGAGCATCTGCAATAAATGTGGTTCATTCGCAATAGCTACAAATAATGTTCAGACAATTCCCAAAATATCAGATTTTCCAATACTAAATTGTAAAGGAGCTAATTGAGATTTAGTATGGATGCAGGAAAATAATTCAGAACCAGTTACAGTTCAGCTGTATTGTTCCCTTCTTCCTTAGTGTTTTTAATTGTGGCTGAATTGTTTTTAATTGTGATTGCATGTTTTTCAAAAGCAAAAACAAAGCAAACCTTTACCAAATCGAAAACTTTACCTTGTTCAAAAAAGTTGTTTTCTTTATTAAAATCCTTTTAAACAATTGCAAAAAACAGGTCCACAAAGGGTACCCCCTTGCAGGTCCTTGCATTTGCAATTAGAAACTGGAATTAGCACTTGCAATAAGAAACAACCTTCCTGGTTCTAGCAGGCATTTTTCCCCCTGCTTCATTAGTGTTTTTAATTGTGGTTGAATGGTTTTTAATTGTGATTGCATGTTTTTCAAAAGCAAAAACAAAGCAAACCTTTACCAAATCGAAAACTTTACCTTGTTCAAAAAAGTTGTTTTCTTTATTAAAATCCTTTTAAACAATTGCAAAAAACAGGTCCACAAAGGGTACCCCCTTGCAGGTCCTTGCATTTGCAATTAGAAACTGGAATTAGCACTTGCAATAAGAAACAACCTTCCTGGCTCTAGCAGGCATTTTTTCCCCTGCTTCATTAGTGTTTTTAATTGTGGTTGAATGGTTTTTAATTGTGATTGCATGTTTTTCAAAAGCAAAAACAAAGCAAACCTTTACCAAATCAAAAACTTTACCTTGTTCAAAAAAGTTGTTTTCTTTATTAAAATCCTTTTAAACAATTGCAAAAAACAGGTCCACAAAGGGTACCCCCTTGCAGGTCCTTGCATTTGCAATTAAAAACTGAAATTAGCACTTGCAATAAGAAACAACCTTCCTGGCTCTAGCAGGCATTTTTTTCCCTTCTTCCTATCAGAATCCAAAGAAGATCCCATCAGAGCCCATCAGAAAAGAGAGGATTTGTCAAAACCTTACAGAAGCCTTTGGGGAAGAGTTGGGATTTTCGATTTACTATTGCAAAGCAGACCCCCCCTTTAAAAAAACATAAAATTTAGGGGGGGGACCCCCCTTTACTATTGTCGATGTAACATTACAGAATCATGGACCTACTAAGATACAGTCCAAACATGTCCAAAATGGATGGCTTTTGCGTGCTTGCCAGCCCAGGTTTTTGATTTTGTAGCAAAGTAGGGGTGCAGGATGGCTCTCCAGAATCGAAGGTTTTTGGGGTGCCAACACCCTCGATTCTGTAGAGGAATTGCAACAAGGATTATAATTATACATATGTATCGAATTATAGATATCTTTATATAATGAATAATCCCTTCCTCCTATATAATTTATGAATAACATGAATTCGACTTTGGTTCCCTAACAATAAATATCACCCTAATAATACAAACTACCTGCCGTGTTTATTAATAGGGGGGGTTTAGTATTAGGGAGAAGGGATTCTTCTGCACTTATTAGGAGTTATAAACCGCTTGCCATTCCTGGGCACATCCGTGCATAGACCTAAGCACCAAGCACGAGACAGCTATGGAAAATGACCCATTTACAGTTGATTTACCTACTCAGATGGTGATTTTCCATCACTTCAACGGCGCATCTCCATCAACGTCTCGTGCTGTCCATCCGCCCGAGGTCACCGGCCCATTTTTGGCCCCCCGTGAAATCGAGAACGCGAAGTTAAGTTGGGGTGAACTAATAACTCCAATTTCATGAAATGGTTTATGATGGTTTATTATACGCAAATAACTATGGTATTCATGGGATATTATACGCAAATAACTATGGTTAACTCCAATGTCACTATGGTTTATGATACGCAAATAACGAACTAGTATTCATGGGGTTTATAAACCAACGTTCACATCACTGGGGGGGACTTATAAGTGGGGGCCCACATTGTAACAAAACAACTCATGGAACACCAGTGGGGTTTGCCAGAGGTCACGGGGCCTTAACCAGCGGCCCGCCACGTTTCTTCGGCCACCCAAACGCCGGTAATTTTTCGGCCGAGAGTCTTCATCCGGGTTTTCATAGGGTGGCAGCTGAAGTCGGTAAACAACAGTCAAGTATCCTGAGAGATGAAGGTGATCGTAACAGGATCACATCGTGACGGTGTGAGAATGGGATGTATAATTACCCGTATACCCTACCTGCATTTGGGATACAAAATGGATATGTTCACAAATGAATACAAAATAATACAAATGATGTGTGACAGTGCTTCAACCTCAAGCTGGGTGTGCGTGTGATCCTTGATGAAGCCACGCTGAGAAAACTTACAAAATCACCATCACAATTGATCATGGCTGCCCACCATCGTTTCCAGTCGAAACTAATCTGATTTTTGAAGGAACCTCATCACACTTTTCTACCCACTTCGGACAACAAACTATGAAGTAACCGTTCACCTTGTGGTTTGCAGGAACGACTTGTGGTTTGCAGGAACGACAATCAGTTCAAACACCCCTCCTACTGGTTGACAGGTGGTACCATATTGGATGAGACGTGTTGGTTTCACCACGCAGCATGACCCCACAACCTTCGCAGTATGTGGTGGTTCCCGGTAGGTCCAGGTAAAAACCCTCATGAAATACGCTTGGGGGTTTCCAAAGAGTCATTAGACCATGACTGAGTATTGAAACCCATGGTGACGACTGGGGATCCCCCATGACTTAAGAAACCCCCATATGAATCCCATGATTTTTTTAGTTCCTTGTTGACCATTATTGACCATCATTTACCGTTGCTAACCATTAACCATTGATACTTCCCTCCAATGACACCTACAAATTGTACAGTTTCCTCTGGTTTCAGTGGAAATTGCAGGGTGGGGAAGGGTCATCCACATTGATGCTGAGTGTAAAAAAACGCCAATCAATACTAACCATTGTATATTAATCATAACATTCTGACCACTAACGGTTATGAATCATGATTCACCATTATTAACAATTATTTAACCATTATTAACTACTATAATTCACATTACTAACCCTTATTAGCCACTTTGTTTACCGTTCTTTACCCCTATCAACCATTGATACAGGATGGTGCCCACCAGTGATGTTTGTTGGTTTATACACCCCATGAATACTAGTTCGTTATATCATGTTATATCTACCATAAAACATAGAATGCAGCCACAGCCATATCTCAACTGAACGCGAGCTCGAACCGGGGCCCCATCCTGTGAAGTGTTGTTAGAAAATCCCATCTATAACCCATCTATAGAATATCATAGAACTATCATTTAAGCATCTTTTTTGCCATCTAAAAGCCACAAATAAATCATAAACCATAGTTATATCTAGTTATGATTTAACCATCTATCATTTAACCATAGTTACACCCACCATACACCATAGTTAAACCATGGGAACTATCATAGCAACGAGTTCGTTATCACGGAGTTCGTTGCAAAAACCAAGGATCCAAGGAGACCTGCCAGTGACAAACCTGCGGATTCTTACCGTTGTGAAACATGGCCAGGGATAGCTAGCTAAAGAAACAATAGCAAATGGTTAATATTAGTTATGCTAGCTAGAAATGGTTGGTGGTATAGCTAATGGTTTTTTGCTAGAAATAGCTAAAGAAATAGTATACCACTACCAACAATAGCTAGAAATGGTTGGTGGTATACTTACCCCTCTGAAAAATATTAGTCAAATGGGATTATTGTTCCCAATATATTGAAAAATAAAACATGTTCCAAACCACCAATCAGTAGAAATGGTAAGTAAGATACTTTTTTGAAAACGGTGAATAGTGATACATTGCATTGGTAATGGGAAAATATGGTGAATAATCATGAATACTAATGGTGAATAGTAGATAATCATGATTAATAATGGTTAATAATTAACAGCAGGATAGTGGCTGGTTAGTAAGCATAGTTGTAACTTTACGTAACTTTACTTTTTTTTGAGAATCTTGGATCATTATCTGGTTGATAATGGGAACATATGGTTGCTAATTTACGGTTAAGAATATGATAATGAGTCACATTTATTCATAATGATTCAATGTCAAAAGGAAAATATGAGAACATCATTCATGAATGGTGGTTTCAATAGGAAGATCATAGCAAAATATGGGAATCCCGAAACTAAATGGAGGTGTCTAGCTGGGAACATCATCTGTAAATGGGGAATTGTCCATTGCCACGTTTGATTACTTGGGGGGGTATCTCACCTTATCTCCTGAAAATGTTCGGCGAATCACGAACACATCAAGCTGGTCAGTTCACATACAGTCGGTCACATAGTTTAGATCTTCTCCCAAACACATTGCTGGTTGAAGGATGATCGGGAAAACACGACATTGTGAAACGACAGTAGATGGACAGAATATTCAAACCTTGCAATGCACTTCATGGTGACCCCCCGCCACCAAATCTCAATGTTTCACCGTGCATCACCGTGCTTCCAAGTGTGGTGCAAAAAAGGGACTGATTTCTTTCCATCATAGAATTGGATGATGGGAAAATTTACAGGAAAGCCCTATATTTGATGGTAAAAACTATGGTTTCCTGTAGATTTTCCCTTAAACCAATCCAGTGATTCCATCTACTGGATAGACGGAGGGTATGACCAGCTCCGTCCAGGTCCTCTTTTTATCAATTGCTCTTTGATCCAAAGTTATCTACAGGATGGGGCCTCCGTTCGAGCTCGCGTTCAGTTGACATACAAGTGGCTCAACTATGATTTATGGTAGTTATGGCCCATATGGCTAAGGTTCATATTGCTAATGGGGTTTATAAACCAACAAAGCTCACAACGGGGGGGGCACCAATCGCACCAAGGTTTCCGAAAAGACAGCCCGTTGACCCCCCGAAATCTCTTAGCGGTTGCACCTCCAATTTGGAAAATCTTCGCCTGGGTGTTCAAGACCCTCACCTAGGGATGCGAAATGAAGCTGGCGCATGAAGCTGGCTTGGGGGGTAGTCAAATTTAGTCAACAAAGATTCGTGGCTTTCATGGCTTTTCACCTTAAACCGTGGATCTTTGACCTGGCTCGAAGCGTCCGATCTGTTTGGTGCCTCAAACATGTGACCAACAAGAGTGGTGTTTAGTGGTTTCTAACCCCACGAACTAGTTCGATATAACATTTGCCAATCGCTACTCAACTAAACTACAAGGTGGTCTCTGAGGTTGTAAGTTGGTTCAAAAAACACTAACTACCGTAAACCATATTTGATCCACTTAACTAAAAAAGGGAGGGCCCCGCATTTTTCATTTGTTTTCATCCCAAAGAGATCCTGCTCCATGTCAGAAATTATGGGTCGTTTTACATGGGATTTATGAGAGTGAAATGACTTCATCTATCTAAATCCTTGAAAATCAGGGTAACTTTATGGGATCTATGAGATAAACTAATTCATTATTCTACATAGAAACCATTTTGTTTTCTATCTCTTTACTTCAATCCTTGATCCCGAGTCGTGCATATGTTTGGCAAGATCGTATTTTAAAGAAATCATGTGTGGCTAGCAGATTTCTGAACAATTATAAACACCTAAATTAAATAATTAATCATAATCTATTAAGTATGATTATCTAAAATTATTATAAACACCATTAATTAATTATTAAACATATATATATAATGATAAATAATTATAATAATCCGTCCTTCACGAATTGTTTACCCATTGTTTCAAACCATGAAAACCAACCATTGACCCAGCCATCTGGCCATGTCTCAGGGTTGCTCCTTACCGCAGATTACCGGTGGTTAAATACGGCAAGATACCGGTGGGCAAAATTACAACATGTCCAACCACAAGTGGATCATATTTACCTATGGCTTAGAACAACCCTATTTCTTGGGTTTGCTTCAGGAACCCGCAAAAAAAGAAAAAACAACATATTCATATCCCATCGGGAAAATAAACAACCATGAGCAAATCCAGGAATTCATGGTGATCCTTGTTGCAAGTAACATCCTCAAGGGCATTGTGGCGCTTGTGGTAGTGAATTGCTGATTCATAGAAGGACATCGAGTGCAAAGACACCTGAAGAAACCATGCGAAACACCGCGCTCCAAGGCGACAGGAAAAAAATCGTTCAAGCGAAAGGGATATCGCCGGGAAATATGTATGGGGTTGTCTCGAAATGAGGTGCTCCCGAAGAAAAACACACAATACTGCAAAATTGTGATAACCCAAGATGATTTTGAGTGCCACAAAAATAACACCATATACCAGAAAAGAAACCACATTGTTGGAACATTGTGATAAGCGTCACCAAAATTTTGTGGCAAAATTTTGGTGACAAACTCATCTTGGGAGTTGGTTCGCACCCGGGCGATTTGACCGGAATCTGTCAAATCACGTGGGTCACTTGGGGGTATATGGAACATCACTGCTGAAACAATCAATAATAAATGCTGCTTGGTGGTTTCAATCCCCTGAAAAATATGAAAGTCAGTTGGGATCATTATTCCCAATATATATATTGAAAGAAAAAAACATGTTCCAAACCACCAACCAGAATGGCAATTTCAGGAACCTAAATATGGCCATATGGCCTGAAATATATGGTACTAACGTAACTCCATTTGGGGATCCTGGAATTCCCATTGAAATGAAGGAACAATGATGCGTATCAGTGAAAAATTAAAAATCTGTATAAGATATTAAAACCAGGAATACCCTCTAAACTGACATAGACATTGGAATTCCATGGGATTTTCCGTATCGTTTTTCTTTTTTTTACTGGAGCGTAGCTCCCAAAAGAAATTGTTTATAACCACATCACACTATAAGATAAATCCATCATAAACCACACTCCACCTAGTTTGAAACCAATTTACCTAGGAGGGCCTTTCTGCGGAAAATCCCATCAAACTCTATAAGTTGAGGGCCAAAAAGGATATCGTTCAGTTGACTCATAAGTTGGCTAATGGTGACTTAACTATAGCCAATTCGAAGTGAAACTTAGTAACCAAAAACCATATCATGTGACCACAAACTGATTCTCTAAGTATGTTTATTGTAGTTATTTATGATGACTATTATAGACTAGAACTATACTTAATGGGGATTAGCCAACTTGGAACCTGGGGGTGGCGCACCCGGAATCCCATCCCATTCTACTGCTTGGTTAGCAAATATCCCTATGGCTTATGAGAAAATCCCCATTCAACCAGATAGTTTTTGAGCCCCATAACCCATGACGGATCCATGGTGCTGGTATATATGCTAACATGACTTGGGTATATTGATGGGATCCATGTTACCATATATAGCAGCAACATGGATCCTATGGGTAATAACGTATCAACTATGGTGTTTTTAATGCTTCACATGGTGCTAGTAAACCAACCCCCGTAATCAACAAAATCGCTGGGACATGCTGGGACATCTCTGACATCTGGACATCGAACTGGGAGAATTATTGAACTTACCCTCTGGTTTTGTTTAACGGTTTGCGAACTGAAAACCATGGCCCATAGAAATAGATGATAAACATGATGATTTACCTAAAGAAAAAATGGCGATTTCCCAGTTCGCTACGTTAAATCACCAAAGGGTAATTGTTTTTTTTCCAGCAAGCCATGGAGCTGATTACCGAATCGCAACACGGGGGTGGACGAAAATATGCCGAATTGCAACTTGAAATCTCACATCGCTGGGTTCGAGGGGATATGATTCACCAGTTCAATAAACAATGGGATGTGCCCAAGAAATTCATAGCCCTTACATAGGCCTTACATTGACATTCAGTTCAATAAACAATGGTATATGCAAGCGATTCAATTCAGGCTCCAATTCCAATGGCTACATTCCCATCAAAGAATGGGGGGATAGGCGATCAATAAACCCCATCCAATAAGGCAACATCCGGAAGTGATCAGCATCCCATATTTTCTATAGCCTCTGGTAATCAAGCGCGGCGATACAAATGGGAAAATCAATTATTTCTGGGGAGTTTTCCATTGCCATGTTTGATTGCCAGAGGGTATATCAAAATATCAAAAGTGATAGTTCTTGTCAATAAACTCAATCTCCATTCCCCAAAGAGTCGTGCAGGAACAAACTCCAGTGGACCGGGGGGGAGGCATGGGTCCGAACTGCAAAAAGGATACAGTAGGCTTAATTGCTGTTGGGGGATGTTTCTTTTGCTCAAGCATCAGCATTTCCCTCTAGCAAATTTTACCTAGCCATTGCAAATACCCTCCAGTAAATTAACATAGACCCTGGCAGATAGGGGTTGGAAGACTAGTTTCCATTAAAAAATGGTGATTTTCAGGGTCTATGTTAATTTACCAGAGGGTATATAATCCATTTGTAGATATTCATAGATGATGTTCCTTTGTCTCCAACAATAAATGGGAATTTCCCGTTAGATGAGCATTCAAAAATACCCCTATCCCATAAAACACTGGTTGATAGGTATCCTTGAGAAATGGCTTGGCTTACAGTATCATACTCCCCAATAAATTAGGTATAATCACCAATCAACAATGGTATACTTGGTATAATTAGTTAGGTATAATCCAGGTGTTGATTGGCTACTAACCCCCCGAAATCATCAGCAATCAACAATGGTATAATTTTCATGGCTCAGACAACTGGAGGATATATTCCTTTTCCTCCCAAAAAACATGGGATGTCATTTGAACTACCCATAGGCCCCACGATGACGACTTCCCAGTTCAATGCCCACATAGACTTGATGGGATTTCCCAGTTCAAAACGGCTAGTTGACACTGGAGGGTAACCCTAATTGTTGGATATAATATATATATATCTGGGTAAATTATAATATTTCACTAATCTCAATTAAGGCCATTTGGGGATAATTCCTCTTATTAACCATGTTCTCCAGTGAGGTCGCAGTGAGGTCGTTCTAATTTACTCTAATTTACCCAGATATATATATATATATACATATCCCATGGCCAATCTTAGATACCCTGCAAAAAATGCCAAATTCTTAGCTGGTGAACATAGATAATCCCATGCCAAAAGACTAAAGGATTAGTCCCTACCCATCCAGTCGAGTGACCTAGTGTATATCTATTGTTGTTTTTTTATACATTGTTGCTTATATGGAGGTTTCCGAAAAAAAAACACCATTACTAATTATTGAGCATAATTAAACCATATTCCATCCAGTCGGTTGACCTAGATATATTCCCATTATATTCTCATTATATTCTCATTTTATTCCCATTATATTCCCATTATATTCCCATATATGTATATATATATATTCCCATATTCCCATGATATTCCCATTGATAGATGATATCCCATGACCCATTTGATTTCTCTCACCATTACATCCCCATGAAAAATTCCATTGCTTTGCCATTTCACTGCGACGCAACCGCCCAAGAAACCCCTTGCAAGGCGTCCCGCTTGAAGGGTCCGATGTTGTTGCGATAAAAGTCCAGAACGCAGGAGCAGAAGCTTTCGAGGATGAAACCTGAGCTTTCAGATGGTTTTTAGATGGCAAAAAAAATGGTTAAATGATAGTTCTATGATATTCTATAGATGCGCTATAGATGGGATTTGCTACCAGCACTTCACAGGATGGGGCCCCCGGAAACCAGCGATGGCGTTCTGGCGTTCAGTTGAGATATGGATAAGTGGCTGAATGAACTATGCTTTATGGTAGATACAACAAACTAGTTTTCATGGGGTTTATGAAACAACTAACATAACTGGGGGGCACCACATTTCAAGCAATGAGAAAACCCAAGGTGGCTCTCTCCAAATGTGATGTTTGTTGGTTAATAAAAAAAGACTATGAAGACTATAGCTGGTTGGTGGTTTCAACCCCTCTGAAAAATATGAAAGTCAATTGGAATTGTTATTCCCAATATATGGAACAATAAAATTCATGTTCCAAACCAACAACCAAATAGTGATATCTACCATAAACCATAGTTGACCTATTTCGAAGTCGAACACATTCTCGTTTACGGGGTTCCCACCTTCTGGGGTTTCACTGAAGCCCATAAAAAGGTTATATATACATATATATATATGTATATAACACCATTGTTATATTGCCTATATTAAAAGTGGAAAACATGGGGATGATAAAACGTTTATTATTATAGATATATATATATAGACACTTGGGTAAAATATAATATAAATCAACTGGGTTGAGAAAATCGTGCAAGGTGGAAAATCACTAAGTGGAGGTAAGATAGCAAAGATTAACCACGTTGATATCTGGATTTTTAGCAACCAGGAGGTGGGGATAGAATAGAATGTTTGTTAATGAATCCCCACCACCAACATGGATAATCCAAAAAGAAAACACATGGTTGGTTAATCCATGTTGCTTGAACATCCATGTTGGCTTAGCAACCAGGTGGGTAGAATTTTGGCGCATGAATATTGATAAGTGGGATATCCAACCAACATGGATTAGCTAATGGATTTATTAAACGAGATAATGATCGGATAACCTACTGCGATATAATGGAATATCTGGTAACTTCACAGTTTGCTATTGAACATCACAATGTTTAATATGTAAAATATTTAAACAATTAATCATGCATAGACCATGGCTTCCGTAGCTACATTTATCCATTACCACTGGTAAATACGCACAGTTTCAGCGAAAAACAATTCCATGGAAAAGCTTCCGTTGATGCCATGTTGCCTCTCCCTTACGAAAATGAAGCATGGGATTTACGAATGGCTCACTCAATAATGTCCTTTTGGTATAAATAGAAGGGCCGGGAGCTGGTATTTACCAACCTTGTTAAAGGGGTAAACGTTCAACATTCCTCTATTCATCAAGCAACCAATGGGAAAAGGACATCAAGTGGGATCCACTTATTTTTCCCCATCATCCAGTTGACCATCTATATTATAGGCTGATTTTATAGTTATATGATAGGTTATAATATAATAGATATGGTTATCTGTTATATGATATGGTTATATATCTGTTATATGATAGGTTAATTTTATAGTATCATTATCATCCATGATTATAGTTATCATCCAGCCCTCTACGGGCTCACTTGCTTTCTTCCGTATGGGGGAATCAACATGGATCAATCCCAGCGATGATTTTTGGCCATTTCTTTTGGCCATAACAGCATATATATATATATATATATGTATATATATATGTATATATATATATGTATATATATATATGTATATATATATATATGTATATATATATACACCCTCTGGTAATGACTAACATAACTATTGAACATGGCCTTTTATAGTTTACTTACCTACTAAAAATGATGATTTCCCATAGCTATGTTAGTTTACCAGAGGGTATACATAATGACATATACATTGCTGAAATTCCCAAAAAGTTCCTCATGAATTTCCCTTTTCCGGTGGTGAAGATTCTGGTGAAACACCCCATGTTTTTGTCTCCAAACATCTCCAGAGTTCCAGCCGGAACGGGGAACGAGAAACCTACGGGCCCTGTTCCTGCATCCTCGAAGAAACCCAAGGTGATATGGAGCCTGGTCAGCTGGGATCTGAATTCGGGTAGACATGTCTGTATGTGTTATATGTATACAAACTATCTACATATGTATACTAACTGATATATATATATATATTGTGTCATGTATATTATTACATATGTGTGTGTATATATATATATCGATCACTTCAGAACGAAAAGAAACATCGTTACATCGCCAGGTTTCTGCCTTCTCAGGCCCTTTGGGAGGTTTTGGGGGACCCCCCGAATTTTCAAACGACATCGTTAGGACCTTAGGAAATCCTGAAATGTTGGGACTTGCCTGTTTTGTGATGGAATGACCATGAATGACCACTGTAAAATGAGTCTGTTTTTGGGTCCTTCGCAATCATTCACCTAACCGTTACCGTTGTCTTTTCACGCAACGTTTGAAGAAAAACCATGGGTCATCATGTTCGCAGGTATAGACGGAGACAAAAAAATATGAAACAACGAAGCACATATGGCACCCTCTAATCAAATGCGGAAATGGAAAATCATGCATTTATACAGGATGGGGCCCCAAAGATAGCGTTCAGTTGGTATGTAAGTGGCTGAATGAAGTATGGTTTATGGTAGATATAACGAACTAGTATGCATAAGATTTCATAAGGTGAATCTAAACCAACGTTCACGTCACGTTTGGGGGCACCATCGTTCGTGGATTTTCCCATCCATAAAACTCCACTCATGGAGGATCAGTCCATTTAGTGAAGTAAATAGGTTCATAGACAAGTTACCCTCTGGTAAACTAACAGTTCGTCCCTGGCAGAATTTTTCGGGGTTGGAAGATTAGTTTCAACTAAACAATGGCTATTTTCAGGGTCCAACTGTAAATTTACCAGAGGGTATAGTTTCAGAAAAGCTACTGAATGGAGACGACTAGTAGCCAGAAACTACCAGAATCAATTCCGATCTGTAGAATGATCCTCCAAGTAATCCCTTCCCCCCCTTCATATTAAACACCCCAATTGCATGGTCCCAATGGAATGTGGAAATTCCCTACATCCACCATGGTTTCGTTTAGGGGGTGTTTAATATGAAAGTGGGAAGGGATCTAATAATCCATCATTTAATATTAGTAACCCCTAATAATGGTTAATATGATTAATAATTAGTAATCATTGCCACTCTTAGGTACCCTGCAGAAAAAAAATCATTGCTGGTGAACGTAGATATTCCCGTTATTACCAAAAGACTAAAGGATTAAAGTATCCATGTAAGATTGACCTAGTAATGGCTGATATTAATAGCAAAATCATTAATAATAATAATATTTTTCCTAATGGCTGATATAAATATAATATTTAGTATGATAAACAAATCATGAACAAATCATATTAATTAATCATTATTTGTTGAGATTTTTTAGCCTCCCAACGGTGAACAAAACCAGGTCGGTGCCAACTTTTCAGACAGTCACCAGGAGCGTCTTCCGAGTCGCTCGTAGCACTGGTGCCGCAGAGTCTGCGAAGTTGGTTTATATAAGTAGATTGACTAGGATTTACGGCAAATATCTATATAGTTAATCAATGTTAATCAGGTAATCAGGATTATGTTTATCAGCTGTTTTCACCTATTTATGTTCAAAAAACAGAACCAAGAACTCTTAGAAATCTGCTAAAACTTATTAAAAAAAAAAACATCTGCTAAAATCATCATGTAATTTCTCACGTCTCTCGAACCTATGAACCTTTTTTCGATGCGACTTTAAGGTTTTTTTTCAACGATTCGACCATTTCGACCATCCCCCAGTCATCTACAAATATATAGGTGGCATAAATCTAAACCATGAACCCAAGGTTAATGGGTGCGAAAAATGGCATTGGTTTACCTAGTTATAACTAGTTATCAGTTGATGTAGCCCATGAACTTGATAACTATAATAGCATATAATAGCTATACCTAAGACATCCAGCATAAACCCAGCTATAAGTCAACTCAAATATCGTAGGGTGGGGCCCTTGTCCGCGGCTGAGCGACGGATACAAGAAGAGTTGCAGGAAACCCGCCAATGCCACAGTGCCACAGTGATAGCCTTGAAGGAACGAAGGAAGGACAGAAATGATCGAAACTGCCCTCTGAATGATGTCAGAAGCATTTCGAAACCAAGATCACTTGGATGTCTCAGTCATGAAGCGGTTCATAAATCATAATATCTTGAATGATAGGGCCAAAGAAAAATGTTTGCAGGAAATTCCTGAGTTTCTTTCTCGATTTTACCCTCCCAAATTCTCAAGTCAGCAATGCCACAGAAGAAGTGATATGGGGCGACTACAGAAGCTCATCAACGGTTTGAACAGAAATGGGGTTTGAAACCCCAAAATGGACATCAAATGATGGGTAAATTATGATCGACATTGGTTAACCATCAAAACGTTTTCTCCTTGATGTTCAGGTATCAAGCAAACATGTCCATTAGTCTCAGTATATCAAACATCTATCCTCACCATGTGCCATGAGTATCCAGTAGAATCATATCCTCTATATAAATCTCACTCTTGATTTGGTGTCCTCTCAATTTTCAGGTACAAAACCAACCCCAAGGTGAAACATATCTCTTTGTACTCAAAAAATGGGATGACGATGATGATGATGCTCATCATCATCATCATCATCGTCATCGTCATCGTCATCATCATCATCATCGTCGTCATCGTCATCGTCATCATCATCGTCATCGTCATCGTCATCGTCATCATCATCATCATCATCATTTGTTTTTTCAAACCAAAAAAAACGCTCAACACAAAACAACAACAACAACAACAACAACACCTCCAAGTGACGTATCATGATGCAGTAGCCCCGCACCGTCCGACAACGGACTTGCTGTTTCTTGCTGTTGTTGAGGAGCCTTAGCCACGTGCTCCACGGCAGTGGAGCTGGGCACCCTCACTTTCGCCCAAAAAACAAAAAGCAGTGGGGGAAGATGAACGTTTTTAATGTTGCATAACATGTCCATTCATGTTGCATATAAAGTGCATATTTTATGCATCATAGAGCATTGATTTATGGGGACATGAGCCCCACAAATCCAGTCATTTAAGCCATGTTTCTGGGCTCCAATTGGGATGAATATGATTCCAGCCCCAGGTTATAGCATGTTATTATACCAGTCATAAAACACACAGTTGTGCACATGGTCGTATAGCATGTTACACATGCAAATACTGTATATGATATTATGTCATGCAACATTTATGTGTACATAGTTGTACATATGGTATGTGTATGCGTATGTTCTATGATGCTTTATGCATGTGACATGATGTTCAATAGCAAAAACATATGGTCATCCCACCTTATGTGCTTTTCTTGCCAAAATAGTTTGTCACCAATAACATGATCAACATTTCAAGTGGTATGACTACAAGACACTGCCCTGATATCATTGAATGTTGGAATTCCCAATCTTCCATTTTTTCGATCTAGCTCAAAACATGTAGCTGGCTCAATTTCATCAGGGGTATGTTTTGACAGTCACCTTGGGCTTTTTCAGAGGTACCATATCTAGTACTAAAGTAATCAGTGGGGATTGAACCTGGCAATTTAATGCAATTTAACAGATTGGGAAGTTTCTGCGAGCTCGCTCAACTGCAACGAGCTGGCTCAGCACCATCGAGCTCGCTCAATGCCATGTAGCTGGCTCAGGGGCATCGAGCTAGCTCAATGGCATCGAGCTGGCTCAATTTTTTTAGGAAAAAAAAAAAACCTCGCAGAAATTGAGCCAGCTACGTCACGTTGAGCTGGCGGACGAATGTGAGAGCATCAAAACGAATACTAGCTATGTATTGGCCGGGTTCATGACGCATTGGCGAGCCGGCTCAAGGGCATGTAGCCGGCTCAATTTCTGCGAGTTTTTTTTTTTTTTTCGCTAAAAAAATTGAGCCAGCTACGTGGCGCTGAGCCAGCTACGAGGCGCTGAGCCAGCTACGTGGCATTGAGCCAGCTACGTGGCACTGAGCCAGCTACGTGGCACTGAGCCAGCAAGGTAGCTTTGAGCTTTGAGCTAGCAAGGAGGCAGTGAGCCAGCAAGGTAGCTTTGAGCTTCATCATATATATATATATACCTATGCAATCCCAACCATGTAATATACTAGATCTAGGGAAAAGCAATTTTTTTGAGGGAGACACGTACCTTTGAGCTGGAGCGGGAATGTGAAATCTAACATTCGATATCAGTATCCAAGACCACTTTTGGCTAAACAACTGAGCATGATGGGATATTCTTTTGATTCGGCACGCCAGGAACTACAACAGGGGTATGACTCTGGTGATATTTGTATCTTAACCCGACTACTTGGAAGCTTTCAATGGGTAGAAAAAAACTGGTGCTTAAAATCTCATGGAATTGGCTCCGCCGTGATGCCTTGAGTTCCAACGTTGCAGGCGCAATTTATGAAAGGAACAGCTGATGGGAATCAAACATAGGGCTTTCACCGGTTAAACATCATAATGTTAAATCATAGTTTTATGGTGAAATGATCGGAACACCATCAACACATGTGATAGTTGGGTGTGTCTGAACATGTGAATTTTCATGGATTCACCACAAGATCATGGCACTTTAAACCGGAATAATGGCTGGATGAACCTTCGGATTGTTGTACCCAATGTCCCTGCGGGCTGAAGCGAAATTGCCCCTGCGGGCTGAACCTATCTTCTTCCCCACTTGCAGGCACAGAGCGTATTTTTGGCTGGAAGGTTTTTGAGGTTTACAATCTGATTTGGCCAGATGGGTTCTTGAAGGTCAATTACTTTTACCATCTGGTTATGACTCACATAGCCATGGAAAATCACCATTTCTAATAGGTAAACCATCTATAAATGGGCCATTTTCCATGGCTATGTTAAATAACCAGAGGGTAATGCCAATACAAGGTGGATCCCTGTTTACGATAGCTAAGTTGACGCAAAAGTCACTTGGCGAAGTACAGATCACCACGGAAGTCCAACTTGGCTAAGGGAATGCTTTCACGGAACTCCGCGCACCAACATGCCGAAAATGTAAATGATCGTAGTCCCCAATATAATATATAAATATATAAATATATATGGTGGTTTCCTGAAATAGGGGCACCTTATAAACCATCCATTTTGGGGTATTCTCATCTATGGAAACCCCCATATACTATGTATCTCAATATATATATAATATAATATATAATATATATATAATATATACCTAATATGTCACACAATTTTCCCCAACGGAACTCGGGCGATTTGTTGATAGAGCCGGTTTTCATTTCATCTGGGGTTTCTGGGGGATACAGCGGATACAACGAACTCATGATCATCACTGGAGGGTCCCACCTTTCATATGCCTAAGAACCATGAAACCTATAATTTCATTTCATTCTTGGTAAATTACGATAAATTATCATATTTTACTAACCAGAAAAGTGCGGCCATTTGGGGATGATTCCCTATACTAACCATCATTCCAGTGAGGTCACGATATGAGGTCACTGTAATTTGCCCATATAAAGATTATCTCCAAGGCTCTTTTCAAATGTTGGTAAGCTTCAAAAATTACCCAATGTTTGTTGGGCTCAAATGACATGGTTTTCCTGATAACTCTCCAAATGTCCTCAAAATCCAATCAATTTGTTGCATCTTTTCACTTAAGTTTTCCTGGTTACTTTCCGATTTTCCACATGGCTCTGAGTCAAAATTGGGTACCCTAATACTTGGATGGTTAATACTATGGATCCCTGGGGCCTGGCAGCCTGGGGCCTGCCTAATCATGGTTCATTAAATCATATTAAATCAATAGACACTGTGGTGAATTATTGATGCTTATTGATGGTTTATATTGGTTAGCATTAAATATGGTTAATAAACCAATTTAAATAACAATATTGGTTTTTATTGGTTAAAACCATCAATATATTGGTGGTCCATTAATAACCATCTAAGTATTTGGGCTATGGTTATTTCTATCTGTGACAGTGGTCCCGCTGGGACTTCAATGACGTGACCCATTTGTACATTTGGAGGCATCCTAAAAAAAGGGAGGGGACTGTTATGAGCGGCGGATTCTGCCGCTCACAACAGTCCTTTCCATAGAAATATTGGTACCCCAGTAGCTGGATGGTTTATGTCATGGAGAATCCGAAAATAACATGGATGATTTGGGGGTGCCCCCCCATATGATGTAAGCATCAAGAATGTGTGATAACTCTGAGGGAATTACACTATATAGTCGTCATTATACTGTCATTCTAGATTATCATTACTATCATATAGTATATTATCATCATAATAGTATATTATAATATCACACTATCATAATAGTATATAATAATACCATATAATGGTATACTATCATTAGTTATAATATCATAATAGTATATCGTCATTACATTATCACATATATATATATATATATTTATATATACACTATATACCACATACATATGTAACTACTGTATATATATATGCTGGTTGGTGGTTTCAACCCCTCTGAACCATATTGGTCAGTTGGGATGATGACATTCCCAATGTATGGAAAGTCATAGAATTCATGTTCCAAACCACCAACCAGTATGTCATTTATACACTATATGATTACATTACCCTCTGGTAATTTAACATAGCTATGGAAAAATGGACCATTTATAGATGTTTTACCTATTAAATTGGTGATTTTGAATAGCTATGTTAGTTTACCAGAGGGCAACATATATCATGACACTGGAAGAGTTGTCCGCCAGGAGACTGCCAGACTTGGCCGGTGAAGTACATCACAAAGGTGGCGGCAGCTGTGATGACCTAAAACGACAGGCTGAGAAGCAACGAACATGATATGTGGTATGTATGGTAGTCAAGTGATAAGTGATATGTGGCACTATATATATATATATATAATAGTGGTAGGTTCATAGTATATGGTATATTTATACTATATTCATAGTAGTGTCATATATGGTAATGTAATCATATGGTGTATATAGTGTGTATATATATATACATATGAACATGTAAGGATACTACAATTGATAGTATGGCAATCTAGAATGATAGTATAATGACCTATATAGTACGTATAATTCCCTCAGAACTATCACATATTTATTGATGCTTACATCATATATCAGCTATCCATCGCCCTGTTGGTGGTTATATAACCCTTTAAACACATAATATGTATATGCCCTGAGAACGAAAAGAAAGATGTGAAAAACCAACCATTCCTACATAACTTTCCTAGGGAAACCATGGATGTTCCACATCAATATTCCAGGGTAAGGCAGTACTTAAATGGGATACAGTGGGGATTCTGACAGATGTTAAATAATTAATCTTAAAGACTTATAGATGTTATATTCTTATGGTCTTATAGATGGGTTAAAATTAAATCCTTCATTGAGATATGGAGATTGAGCCGGAAACGATAGGTTTTATTTTTGGTATTTTATCACTGGCCGTCTCAGGAACCGATTTATTGGCGGTACCGATTCCATATATAAGGCCTATAAATTTCAGGGGATATAGCCCCAAATATGGCCTGCATAATGGTACTAACGTACCTCCATTTTGAGATCCTGGAATGACCATTGATTTTACTGTATTGAGATCACCAATATTGAGTGGTTACAGAGTATAAGTGGTGAGTGTTATACCAGTAAACACACATCTGGTTGGTGGTATACCTACCCCTCTGAAAAATATGAGTTTGTCAGTTACAGTTGGGGTTATGAAATTCCAACTGAATGGAAAGTCATAAAATTCATGTTCCAAACCACCAACCAGCACAGTATTTGGTATTCTACTTTATATCACTACTTTATAATAACAATTGAGTTCTTATGTGGTTCGCACGGTGTTTTTTCTTAGTCTCCATTGCATATGGTATTGGGATTGGTAAATAGGTGGTAGTATAATTGGGATATAGTAGGGACATAAATTGACATAATGGTAATATATATATATAGTAGTATTTAAATATTATATAGAGAGATACACTGGGATATGATGGGGATATAAGTCACAATATCTAGTGCAATTAGGGATAAAAGGATAAAACTGGCAAGAGATATTAGCTTGTAGGGTCTGAAAATGGGGGATGAAGCAAAATATGATATCACATATGTTAGATAGTATAATTCCATAACTGGTATATAAAATTATGTAGAGGTAATTCGATGGGGATCTGATGGGATATATAACAGGATATTACAAACAATATGTGATTGTTTGGTATCGGAAAATAAGATATTTAAGAATTTAACTGACAAAACGGCCTCCACCGGGTTGCTATAGTTATGTTTCCCAACCATCACAAATCACAAAACATCACAAATCACAGATGTATATCCATTGTTTGCTGGTTATATCCGAATGTGTTCCCTCACTTTTAAGAAGGTTACCCTCTGGCAAATTAAGAGTTTGACCCTGAAAATCTCCAATTTGACAAGTGGTTTCACTAATCTTCTAAGCCCCAAGTCATGGCAGGGTCGAACTGTTAATTTACTGCAAGGTAAGTCCCAATGTTCTTAGACTCTCATTTGGAAGTCCAGGTTCTATGAGAGTCAATTATTGGAAGGCAGGGTCTATGTTAATTTTCTCACCCCAAAGGTAAGTCTCATTTGACTGGCCCCTTCCAAAGTTCAGCACGCTTGCAGGCGGCGGTTTGCCTCGTTGAACCAGAGCAAACCGAAGGTAAACATCACCTCAGGGAAAAAGCGCGAAACGGGACAAAAGGGGAGGTATGATGGGGATATTCTATGTGTATATATATATGTTATAGTATTAAACTTATCTTTGTATATGTATATGTAATAATATAATATAATATAATATATATATATATATATATATATCTGGAGAAACTATGATCATTCACTAACCCGAAGAGTTTGGCCATTTGGGGATGATTTCCTTGATTAACCATTGACCATCATTCTAGTGTCGTCGCAGTGAGGTTGTTACAACTTGTCCAGATTTATGGAAATAGTAGGGACATCTCGACCAACAAACGGGCTCTTGCCTTTTTCACACAATTTCATGGGGATATCTTCCGTGAATATCATTGGAATATGTATACTGTATCTGTATACGGCATTTTTTTTAAGGGAAGTGAGGTTCACCCTCCAGGAATCAAATGTGGCAATTAAAAATCCATCATGTATAGATGATTTGCCCATCAAAACATTCATTTATAGAGGATTTCATATGGGATTTCCCTTTGCCACGTTTAAATAAGTGGATATTAGGGTGGCTCATTCTTAGCACTGCTAGGGAGCTCTATAGAAGGAATGGGGATGGATCTAACAGCACTAGGGATACATATTCATCCCCCTCCTTCCATCCCCCCTATAAAAGATCGTTTCGCGAGAAACATGAGTTTCACGAGACTTCGCTGGCATTGCCACGGTGAGATGGGAAAATTCTGGAAGAAAAACAAACACATAAACCTGGTTGGTGGTATACCTACCCGTTGAAAATGGTGGATCTTTCCATATTATGTTAGTGTACCAGAGGGTACCCGAATTAAAACGCCCAAACATGGATTGTCTATCTGGTTGGTGGTATACCTACCCCTCTGAAAAATATGAGTTCGTCAGTTGGGATGATTATTCCCAATATATGGAAAGTCATAAAATTCATGTTCCAAACCACCAACCAGAAACCTTCAGGATCTCCATTTGGTGCAGGATGACAAGAATAGTAAGTCCTTGTTGATCCAGGTGAAGTAACCATCTGGTAATGACTAAGACTTTGCTATTGAATAATTATGTAAAGGGGCGTGGCCAAATCTTTAGCATGCCTCATAAGTGAGCTCAGATACCGCGCCAGCTGTTCCGCCAGGCGTATGGTGAAGCTTCTAGCAACCGCCTCGAAGGTGTTGCGAATATCACTCCCGCGCCCCTTCACCAGGAGCTCAGCAGCAATAGCAACAAAGAGACGAGCAATTTTATCCGGAAAGGGCTGCAGCCAAATCGTGAGTTTGGCCTGAAGCCAGAGCTCCGGGAGGGCGCCTGGTTGAGCCAACGTTCACGTTGGTCAACACAGTTCAGAACACAGAAACTAAGTGAGTTTCTGTGGGATGAGCAAACTGGATTCCAGTCCAGTTAACGTTTTCCAAGGGGTAACCATGGTGATCGCCCAACTTCTCAGAAGATTGTCTCAAAGGCGTCGCCGTCGTGACGGGCGTAAACATCCAGCAGGGTACCATGCGGGGTTTGGACAAAGCCACGTGAGATCTTACAACGTCTATGGCCTATATGATAGATTGCATTCTCCCATTCTGGCGTCGTATTATCAGAGATATTCAAAGATATTCACCAAACACATAGTGATCACACAGTAACCATGGTGATCATATATAGTAATATGATGTAATATGTGGTACTGTATGGTTATTATGGGATGATGAAATTGGTCACTGGGGCCTTTATCATGCATCCTACACTTCAATGATCCTTCCTATTCGTTGTCCCCCAGGGCACTTTGACCTTTAGAGTGATGGGCCCTTTGTCACTTTGACATGAGGCTACACGTACATTACAGTAAAATTCCAGTTTGAACACCCAAATTATGGGTCTGGATGAATTGCAATAATTTACCAACCTGACAAGTTTGACCAAAATGGTTATCCCAATCCAATTCACATCATCCCAATGACGTCACAGTGAGGTCATTATAATTCACCCATATATATATATATTATATGTAATTGTAAGTATACATATATCGCCCTTGTTGCTTCCTAATGATATCCCCATGATATTCCCAAAAAATCTTTCATTTACCCATTTGATCCCAACGCAAACTATGGATGATGAACCCCGGATATGGATGCTTAAATATCACATTTCCATCTGGTGCTCAACTGGAAGAGGTCCATCTCAGACCGTCACATATGGGATAACCCAGTTATGAATGGCCATGCAACAGGAACCGATTTTTTGAAGGTACCGATTCCATATATAAGGCCTATTTTTCAGGCCTATGTAAGGGAATATCCCCCACAGAATATGGCCCGACAAATGGTACTAACGTACCTCCATTTTAGGATCCTGAAGATCTCCCATTGAAAGTTAGGTAACCTATCCACTAGGGTGATTAAGGAGTAATGTAGAACCGGCCCAAGTCGTACACACACACACATTTGCCATGTTTGATGACCGGAGGGTAGTAGATGTGATTCGTTTGGTAAACAAACAAACCGGCAAATGGACAACTGAAACGTGAAAAAGGGAACTCATCTATTTCAACCGGCATTTTCGCCAGAGGGTATCATTCAGTATAATGTAATCAATCCTAGGTGCAGGGACACTTCTGGTACCTACATGTGGGGTGCCCAACCTATATCTTATCTATATATACAAGGTCTATGCGACAAGATTCATAGAATACACCCCAAAATAATGGCTTGAGCAAATGCCTCCTTACCCTCAAGTAATGCAAGCTATGGTTCAATTCATCCATATACAGATAGATGGATAGATAGATAGATAGTTAGATAAATAGATAGATAGATAGATAGATAGGAAAGAAAGAAACAAATAAAAAAAGAAAGACATATAGAAAGAAAGATAGATAGATGAGTATCCCATATGTTTTCAGTAGTTCTCCATGTTTTCCCAATGATATTTCATCCATGTTCGCTATGAAAAAACGCTAATCATACATATTCCACAAAAACAGGTTGGATATGGTTGGATCATAGATAGATAGGAAAGAAAGAAACAAATAAAAAAAGAAATACATATAGAAAGAAAGATAGATAGATGAGTATCCCATATGTTTTCAGTAGTTCTCCATGTATTCCCAATGATATTTCATCCATATCCGCTATGAAAAAAACGCTAATCATATACATATTCCACAAAAACAGGTTGGATATGGTTGGATCATATATGATTTTACTACAAGTTCTCCATGTTTTTTGTTCTGATACAAATACGTATATCTATATATATTGCTATCTTTCCCAATAATAAACCTTGGATTTTACATGGTCTTATATAGGGATGGGTGAAAACCTAGCATTACCATATGACTGGGGGAATACCCCACAAATTAACCAACTATTTTAGGATACCATCCGCGTATCAATGGATTCGTTTAAATTAATAATTGAAACCAACACCCCATATTTCATGGGAAAATCGATGGTTTCAAATGTAGGTTTTCCCTTAAAATATCATTCATTGAGTAATAGTAAACATCACTATTACTATTATGGTGACTATCTGGTTGGTGGTTTTAACCATCTTGAAACATATGAACGAAAATGGGAAGGATTGTCCCGTATATGAAATGGAACATTAAAAAAATGTTCGAAACCACCAACCAGTAAGATCTTGGGTTAAATCCATATAATTCCATATAAATGGTTAATACTAGGGTCAGTTTTTTTTTGATCAAATGACTAGTGATTTAACCCCTTCGTGATTTCGTGGATTTCACCAAAAGTGAAACATGGCCCATGGCCTTTCGCGCTAATATTTCCAGCACAGGTGCAGCATAGACTTTGTTGATGGTCGGAAAGATGACGACATATTCCTCGGCTTAAGGAAAGACTACGAAACTTGTGAGATTTTTTTTTGGGGGGAAAACTGATGATTTAACCTTAACCAACATACGTGAGATTTTTTTTCTAGGGAAAAACGAGTGATTTAACCATCAAAAAAACATGGTAGTAGACATGGAGGTTTACCCTCTGGCATTGTTGTTAAAATGGCTATGATTTGTTGATCTGTTTTTACGGTTTACCATCTGGTTATGACTAACATAGCCATGGAAAATCACCATTTCTAATAGGTAAACCATCTATAAATGGACCATTTTCCAAGGCTATGTTAAATCACCAGAGGGTAGACACCAGAGGGTAGATATCAAAATGGTGAAGGGGTCCATAGTTATGCTCATTTACCATTTTGGGCAGGTGAAGAAACTTTGGTATGTCTTCTCCTTTTTGCTAGGCATGCCTAGCAACTCGGTGATGTTGATATTGTTGGCGCATCCATTTTGTTGGAATATGTATTTACATATAATTATATATGAGAGTCAGAGCATCGTATATCACTATCATTTCTTTGGGTCATTTGAAATATTCTGTATCTTTTTTGAATATCATTCAAATACCCTCTGGTAAACGTTTACACAACCATGGAAAATCACCACTTTTAATGGGTAAATCAACTATTACTAAATGGCCATGCTCAAGTTCGCTAACTGTGACAGTCATTACCAGAGGGTAAACATTACAATGAGATTTTATAAATGCTGGTTAATACTGGTTAATGATGGTTACCCTCTGGTAAACGTTTACATAGCGAACTGGAAAATCACCATGCTATCAATGGGAAAATCCACGAACTAAATGGGCCATTTTCAATAGCTATGTAACAAATTACCAGAGGGTAATACTGGTTAATGATGGTTTACTTCAGAAACTCCCATCTTGCTCCACTTGTTTAACATCGGGGCGTCACCTTTGTCGAAGGGATGGACCTCATGGGATCCAACGTGAGGTCAGGGGTGAAAGCATCAATGGTACCTATTGAAAATGGTCAGTTATAGTGGATTTTCCCATTAAAAATGGTGATTTTCCATAGTTAGTTATGTTAGTTATAGTGGATTTTCCACGAATCCTAAGTAGGTTAGTTCACCCTGGTTTCTTCAGTGGGATAAGTAGGGGCAATGCCCACTGAAATAACTAGGGTGAACCAACCTACTTAGGATTCGTGGGTAGTTCGCCACCAAGTACCCAAGTGCGCTGGATGGTTCATTTCATGGACAATCTCAATCTAAAATGGATGAGAACTGGGGGTACCATTTCAGGAAATCTGAAACATTTTTATCATACAGGAAGAAGCCTTGAAATACTTATTACCATCTGGTATATTAACGTAGACCCTGGCAGTTGTTGGGGTTGGAAGACTAGTTTCCATTAAACATTGGTGATTCTCAGGGTCTATGTTTATTTACCAGAGGGTAACTTATTAGTTGATACCTGGTCTACTTCGGTCTTTGGCTGGATTGGATACATCTTTGGTTGGATGAATACAAGTGGGAAGGGAGGGCCTTCTTGCAGGTCATATTAACATATATTAACCTATATCAACATTATATATATATATCATTTCGCTCATACCAGACACAATTTAATCATTGCAACGATATCTTTGTAATGTAGTAACCAACTGATAAAGCACCCATCCAGTTGTACCGGAACCGTTGGGTTTGCCTTGTCATACATCTGTTAGCCTTTCTCCATGATTATATGACGTTTCGCCGGCTGACATCTGACCAAACAACCATTGCGTTCCAGCCAAAGCTATCGCAGAAAAAATGCATGGCCAAAGCTTTGAAGAACTACTTGGTTCCAACGTCATGTGGGTACCAAACGCTTAATCAGTCATACGTGAAGCTTCAAATCAGTAATTCGATCCCAACCGCTTAGATCCGGGAGATATACTGGAATATAAATATATATATATATATATGTAATACATGTGTATATATATACACATATGTATACATATATGTGTATATATATGTGTGTATATATATACATATTGTATGGGTACATTTCTCTCTCTCTCTCTATGTATATATATATAAATGTATGAGTGTATATATATATAGTTATAATAAATGGCTGTAACCAAATTCATGTGGGAACAACAACAATAATAGTAGTTCATGGCCAATCGAACCCCTTCTTGGGTTGATGCTTTGTTTCTGGGATTCATCCTATATATAACTGGCTTACAGTATGCTTAATATCCAGTTTCTGGGATGCGCACGGGCACAAAGAAACTGCATGTCAATGTTTTAAGTATGGAATTCAAGCAAACTTGAGCTAAATTGCAAGGGGTGATTTTGCTTCATGGTGAATCTTAGATACCTGTCAGGAAATCTTTTTTTTTTGCTGGTGAACGTGCATAAATTACCATTGACATATATTGAAATCGCAAAAGATTCAGTTGTAGAACAGTTCGTATCTAACCAGTTGGTTGACCCAGATGATCCTCCAAGTCGCCCCCTTCCAGATCTTCCAGTTTCATTCCGAGCGGCCCATTGCTTCGTGGTGCCGTAGACAGCATGTTTCCTTGCCACGAGAAATTTCGGTGTCAACAGTGTCAACCCCTCACCATTGAAAATCAAGAATAGTGGAAGTGGAAGATTGAAAAGTGAGGAAGGGGTTTAAGTGAAAATCAAGAACTTGATTTCATCATTTCAAGTGCGATTGAAATGTATTGAACATCTAACGAATAGTTGAAACCACCAACAACATTTCAAACAGAATTAGCTAATCGGATCTAATTGGCGCTTTCCTGATGCTCGTAACTTGAGTGTTCGAAGTGTTTGGTCAATGTATTCTTCAACTGGCTTCAACCTTGTCTAAATGTGTGTTTTTTTCTTCATTTTAGGGATCTCCAAATTACTATGTTTGGGACGGGTTGAAGCCATCATTACAAAGATGTACCACTCCATGTTTTGCCATGAACTGGAGGGGCCTCACCTTGTACAGTAATCATCAATAATCATTCATCTCAACTGAGAAACCATTCATAGTGAAACCATTGACTATTACTAAACTATAATGTAGATAGTTGGATAAACTACAAATGTATACAATTGTAATATATAATATAAAATTAACCATTACCAAACTAAACTAATGGACAATGGGAATGAAGATAATGATATAGATAATGATATCAAATATCCATCATTATGCATTATTATTCCATTACTCTGCTTTCAATGGTTGAACTACAATGAAAAAAGTGCAAACCGCGGGTATTGAACCACTATAACCGCATTATAGATAGTTGATACAGGATAATCATGGATATATATATATATATCGTATTAAATAGTAATGATATTAATGGATTATCACCACTGCTATCCCACTAAATATCAATATCATAACTTATAATTAATTATCCTTTATTATCCAACATAAACCATTCTGGGATGATAAGTGTACAGCTATAATGGAATAGACATGGAACACTCTATAATCGATAATATCCTGGTAGTTAAAACTAGCAGCCTTGGATAATTATTATCTATAATACTGGGATCATAGTGGTTACCCTCTAGTAAACTAACATAACTATGGACAATCACCATCTTTAATAGGTAAATCAACTATAAATGGTGATGTTCAATAGCTATATTAGTTTACCAGAGGGTAAATACCCAAGACACATAAACTATCTATAATGGGATAATAGTGGGTAATAGTGGGATAATAGTGGGATAATAGCGGTTCCATTAACTAGTAACCACCATTATCCCATGAAATACCCAAGAGGTTGCCCAGTTTTTGGACCAGGCTCACTCTCGTTTCCCCATTCTGCAGCTCGCTGGTAAAGTAGTTCCCGATCACAATCAGCCACCTGAGACCCCGTCTCTATAGCAGCACATCACCGTTTTTCGCGCCGTAAAGCAAAAGGCCTACGAAATATTAAAGCATTGGGTGAAAAGGTGGATATGGATATGGATATGGATATGATATGTCTGGAGTTAGATGCACAGAGCAACAAGCATGGGAAATGAAACCAAGCAGAATGAGGATCACTGGCCATCTCAGGAACCGATTCATTGGAGGGGCTATGTTTCAGGGAATATCCCAGCAAAATATGGCCTGAAATATGGTACGTTTACGTACCTCCATCAATTGGATCCTGGCATTCCCAATATTGAGAGGATAACATGTTCGGATTCCAAATTGTCTCATTTCATGGGATGTCCTGGGCACTGTTTTCATTTCCACCTAGGTGACTAGGCCTCGAATTAGCTGTTTTGGTCGAATCGAAAATTGAGTGTCTTGTCAGGTCCATTTTGCTTGCCAATTACCAGGGTACAACAAGGTCTAGCAGTATAAACAACGCAGCTGATGTCTGAAAGTATCTGGATAAATTATGATTATAGTATATTATAACAATTCACTAACCTGAAAAGTTTGCTTATATTGGGATAATTGCCCCAATTTCAACCATGATTACAGGGTTCGGTCACAACGTGAGGTCACTTTAATTTGCCCAGATGATAATTCATCCTAATTCTTGGTTACATATAATAACATATATATATATACACTGTATGTATGTATTAGTATATATATATACAGTATATATATATATACAGTAAATATATATATATATATACATACACTGTGTATATATATATACACACACTAAATACGTATACCATTATATCCCCATCATATCCCCATGATTATCCCCATAATTCTTGGACCACCATCATTCTTGGATTCTTCCATGCCTCAATCCTGACAGCCAATACTCCCGACCAGAGACCCCATTTCAATGACCAGGGGCCGTGGTATTGCGAGAAGGGATGAAGTAACAATTCCGAAACCAAATTGGTGGCTTCTTCCCATTCAAATCAGTTTAACTTTAAGTTCCAAGCTTGCCATCACACCAATTTTCCATCGTTTTCTGGGTACATGGTGTGTCACAATCTTTGTCGAAGTATGTAAAACTTCGAAAAATAGACCCAAAGCCAGCTTTTCCAGACTTTTTGAAAGCTGCAGGTCACACCCATGTTTGACTGTAAAATCATGTAAATATATTTACTATGTCCTTTGGATTTTCCCTTCAACCAATCTCCAATGGCGGCCCACAAAAAACCTGAGCTCGAAGAAATTGTTCCCTGGGTTTACTACGGTAAACATGGTAGATCTGTATATCTATAGTCAGATGGATTTATGATTCATAAACCTGTCTCACTATACATAAATCCACCATAAATCAGACCAGTACGGGTGGTAACTTACGCCACAACCTATATTCTCACCCATGGCACACAGCTTATGCCAAGATCAAAAGAACTTATGCCAAATCCAAATCATCACGAAAAACATCTACTCCCAAAGCACCAAGAACATGCCAGGTGATTTTTTGGCGCGAGCACAAAGACAAGACATCTCTTTTCTTCGGTTTCTCTTCACTACTCTTCTCTTCTCGACTCTGTTCCAATCTCTTCTACTCTTCTCTTCTCTGCTATACTCGTCTCCAATCTTTTGCATTCCGCAGTTCTATTCTCTTCTCCACTCATCTGTGCATAGTCTCTTTTACTCTACTCTTCTACTACTCTCTCTTCTCTGTGACTTCAAGCTATTGAGCAGTCATTCGTAAGTCGGACTTCTATCTCAAAAAAATACATAAGTCTCAAAAACAGGTGTGCCCCTGCAAAATGATAGACAAATACATGCCACAAACAACTGCTTCATCCAGTAAGAATGACATGTATCTCATGAACTTCCCTTCCCGGCACGTGGGCACAGCGGCGCAAGACGACAACCGCGGCACAAGTTGCCATCCTGACCCTGTAGTAAGAAAAACATGAATCATACTCAAATTAATCAACTGGTTGGTTGTGCAATGTGCCCATCTTGAAAAATGATGGAGTTCGTCAATGGGAAGAATGACATCCCATATATGAAATGGAAAATAAAAATTAATGTTCCAGTCACCACCAACCAGATATCAATCCTGGATTGTTGATGGATTTTTGATGGTTTATTAAAATTTATTAAAAATTGTCTGAAACCACCAACCAGTCAACCATCGTCAATTAACACAACGGGCCTCATGCTGTCGTCCGATTCCCGAAAGATGTAGCCTCTGATTTTTTAACGTAGCGAAGTGGAAAACCACCATTTTCAACAGCTAACTCATCATGTTTATCATCTATTTCTATGGGCCTTGGCTTTCATAGCTATGTAACAATCACCAGAGAGTATGTTTGTTGATTTATATCATTCATCCTAATTGTTAGTTATATATACTGGTTGGTGGTTTGAACCCCTCTGAAAAATATGAGTCAGTTGGGATGATTATTCCCAATATATGGAACAATAAAAAATGTTCCAACCACCAACCAGACATTTTCAGACGAACCCACATGGACTTGATCTTGGCTGTTGAAACCATGCAGAGGGGCTCCGAAGTGTTGCAATGTTACATATACTGTACATATAATTATCGTAGGGGATGGTCGGATAGTCATATATATATATAACCTATAATAATTACCAACAATTACCTCTTCTATATATATATACCCTCTGGTAAACTAACATAACTATGGAAAAACACCATTTTTAATGGGAAAACTCACTATAAATGGCAATTTTCAATAGCTATGTTAAATTACCAGAGGGTATATAATTATAAATTATACACCCTGATTTGCCCATCACATCCCCATGCTTCCCCCCATCAATTGCGGTAAAAACCCGCAGAAAAATTGCTGCTGAAGCACCAGCACAACAGCCAGGTACGTTGTAGGGCCAGGATCAACGGCATTAAAACCAAACTGGGGGTCCTTAGGATCGAGACACGAGGAAACCCCAAGTTCGCTGGATGGTTAATGGAAAATCCCCTACGAAAATGGATGAGAACTGGGGGTACCCCGTGGTACCCATTGTTTTAGGAACCCCCATATGGATTTACCCTCCGGTAAACTAACATAGATGTGGAACACCCACCATTTAATAGACATTTTTTCAATGGAAACCACGGGCTTTCAACATCTATGTCAGTTTACTTCAGGGTAACAATCGAAAACTGGTTGTTGAACCAATAAAACTGAATGCTTTAAAAAGCAAACTTGGAGATTTGTATGTGATTTATGAACGTCACGTTGGTTTATGACTGGGCAACCGGATGTATTTATGGTGGATGTCCTCTTGGCAAGTGGCTTGTGACCCATGCTACAACTGAGGATATACCATGTTATGACATGGTTTGCCTCCAGTAAACTAACATAAATAATGTCAACCCCGGATTAATAAACCATGGTTTATTAATTAGGGGGGTACTCCTCCAATAGTCATTTCATCTGATACTTAAATGGTACCCTCCCAATTAAACAGCCGTTTGGGGTTTATTAATCCAGGGTTGACATCATGGAAAATCACCAGATTTAAGGGGCAAATCATCGACCTTTTTTAAAAGGCCATCTGGCTACCATAGCAAACTGTTACCATCTGGTTATGACTAACATAGCCATGGAAAATCCCTTATAAATGAAGGTTTTACTGGGAAAATATGGGAAGATCATCTATTTCTATGGGCCATTGTCCATGGCTATGTTAGACATAACCAGAGGGTAGTTTCCCAGAGGGTATTTCAGGTGGTTCTCACCTAGTTTCCACAATGGCCCAGCCTAGCGGTCCATGCAGATCACGCCGTCCAGTGATATCCACTGCATTCTGATGTTACCATAGTTCATAGTTGATGATGATGATGATGATGATGATGATAAACAAAGCTATTACTCTCTGGTAAATTAACAGTTGGACCCTGAAAATAAGCAATGTTTAGTGGAAATTAGTCTTCCAACCCCGAGAACTGCCAGGGTTTATGTTAATTAACTGGAGCGTAGCATTAATTCACATCATGAAATATGGGTCCAATTTCTGGATGCAAACTATCATGTGATGTGAGGATTGCTTGAAATGCGCACGACACAGTGAGGGTGTCTTAAAATGGGTACACCCAATACTACAGTACTAAGAAAAAATGAATGATTTGGGGGGGACGCCCATGACTTAGGAATATATTATAAATTATATATGGACATTATAATATATATATATTCCCTTATAAACCAGCTAATACAATCGGCATGATTCCTGTGACCAGTCTTTGAAGTCAAAGACTCAAAGCATGAAACATATCCAAACGGTTGGTTGGTTATAACATGTTCTAAGATAGGAATGTACTACCCTGGGGTAAACCAACATAGATGTGGACACGAAAATGATCTGGAAATGGTATGGGTTGTCCACATCCATGTTGGTTTTACAGGAGGTTGCCTGGATAAATAGTGTTGACCTAAGCCATAATGGTAATAGCTAGCATTAGAACATCTTGAAACCATGTTTTTAATTCATAGACAAATTAAATCCTGAATTTGGCTTCCTAGAGGGATTCCGGGGTTATAAACCTAGCAACCAACCCCTACAATTTAATGCGATGGGACATGGCTAATTCTTCATGGCTCACTTCGCCTGGTCAACAAAAGACCCCTGACGATACGGTTTGTGCGAAGAATTGGTTGTGCTCCAATCATCTTTACCCTCTAGTTTGCACTAACATAGCGAACTGGGAAATCCCCATGTTTGATAGGTAAATCAACAATTTTCATGGCCATTTTCAATAGCTATGTGAAAGTCATTACCAGAGGGCCAACAGCAAATGAATCAGTCAGGGTACGAATCCACGTCACCAGCCCCACTAATGGAGATTCTGAGATGAGGGGATGTGCCTCTTACATCCTGTACTGCAATATTTTTCACTGATTAATGATTATTTGAGCAGTGTGAAACAAACCACTCTGTTATTCCATGAAAAATCCTGGTTGGTTAAGAACGGGATTCCCCGTTCTTGGATTTTGGATTATTATACCTACATCCACTGTATTATTTGTTTATTTGGGGTTTGTTTATTTGGGGTTTCCTAAAATTGGGCTACCATCGAGTCATCCAAGTCAGTAGACCATGGCTTAGGTTAACGGTTAACCTATGGTGACGACGGTAGCCACCCCTTTTTTCGGAAACCTCCATTCGAGGTCTTTATTTTTTAGGCTACACCATCCAATCCACGGAAAAAATCATCATTTTCCCTCTTGGCATGGCCATTTGGAAGCTAATAGCAGCCTGCTACCCCCATTTTCAGACTTTTTTCGGACCTGTTCCCCCGAAAGACAAAAAACTCTGCCTTTTTTTGTGGTGGGCTAAACTAAACGTGGAGGATGATCCCACTCAGTAAGCGGTTTTAATAACCATAGAACTACCCTCTGGTTATTTAACATAGCCATGGAAAATGGCCCATTTATGCCCATTTATAGATGGTCTACCTATTAAAAATGGTGATTTTCCATGGCTATGTTAAATAACCAGATGGTATAATCTATTTATAGATGGCATAAGCATGGATAACTTACTGAATGGGGGAATTACTAAGGCCTACTAACGCGAAAACCACTGCCTAAAAAATCCGTCAAATGATCCTCCCTGAATTGCTCACCAGGTGTCGACAGGACGCATTGGCATGCCAACCTGTGGCCAGGAAGCTAACTTGGCCATTTCAGAAAGCTAATCAATCAATCAATCAATCAATCAAATCCAATCCAATCCAATCAAATCAAATCAAATCAAATCAATCAATCAATCAATCAACTGTATCAATCTACTGTATCAATCTACTGTATCTATCTATCTATCTAGCTAGCTAGCTAGTAACTTGGCGGTACCTACCACAAGGATTACAAGGTCTAAGGGCTAAATTTCAGGAGACTTTTCGACCCAAATTCCATGGTATGTGGTACAGTGGTACAATACTTCCAGTTTAGGTACCTGACATGGTCATTGATTTCTGACCTTTTCGAACAGCGCGACAGGTTTTGAGGCCCCAGAACTGGCCCAGAACCTGTTAAAACTGTTAAGGTTTCTTGATCCCGTATATCCCGTCCAGTAAGAGCAACAAACTTTTAACATGGTGTGGTAAATCCATCTAGGATCGAAACGAAACCACTAAACATGTAGGTATTGCTATGTATTGCTATAATCCCTCCAGAACATGTTGGTTCAACAGATTAATTAATTAATTAATTAATTGTATAATATATATATATACGTATATTTCGTTTTGATTTCTAGCACATAAATCGAACCACTTTGAGAGCCTGCCTGTCCGTATCCCCTCCTGAATTTTGAAATGGAACCCTCAAACAATGTTTTCGAGCAATGAATACTAATTAGCAAAATATCAGATTCATATTCCGAAGTAAGAATCACCGAAATAGAGGTTTCCTAAAATGGGGGTACCCCCAAATCATTGGTCAGATTTTCCATTATAAACCATCCAGCTATTGGGGTACCCCCATTCTAGGAAACCCTCCATTCATCTGGGTAAATTATAATAATTCACTAACCTGAAATAAGGCAATTTTGGGATGATTCCTCTTACTAACCATGATTCCAGGCTTCGGTCGCAGTGAGGTCGTGATCAAATTTACCCAGAACATGATAGATTGATGAACGTAACCAACATTGCTATTCATTTCCCATAGGATCCATGTATGGTATATATGCTAACATTTACCATCAATATAATGTTACCATATATACCATACATGGATCCTATGGGTTTGGAGGTTTCCAATCCATGGGGGTATCCCAGTCATCCATGGGGGTATCCCGAGTCATACCCTCCATCCAAAGTCAGCAGAGAAATTGTTGGCTCGAGCGGACAAGGTGCTGCCCCCAGTGATGTGTACGTTGGTGAACATAATCATAGGAAAAATATAGATATATCAGTTATAAATGGCTTGGAATCCCATGAACTATAGATATATCTACCATAAACCATAGTGAAATTGGAGTTTTAAGGTTTATTGAATGAGTCGACTAGTTCACCATAAGCCATAGAAAACCCAGTGATGTTCAGCAACTTCGCGATTCATCGGGGGGGGCCATCTTATACATTCCCATTATATCCCTGTTTTTCGGGTGGAATCCTATTGAAATCCCATTTCCCTATTGTTTCCCAATGATTTCCCTAGTATGTCCCTGTTGTTTCTCTAGTATTTCTTCATGATTTCCCTTGTTGATGCGTACTAAATCGCCATTTTCTACGCAAAATCACCCGAACCCTCACCGCAATTGCAGTCGCAGGGACTCTAAAACTCGTCCCGCGCTGTCCAGTGATGAGCGCAAGGAACACATTTGACAAACCTCGGGATGTCTTAATGGGAATATATGGGAATATATATATATTATATTATATATATATATTCATTATTAACCTTACTATATTACGTATTATTACCTATGAAAATCCATCATGTTTGAAAGTTAAACCTCCATTTTGGATAGATTGGATGGGAATAATATCCCCAATCCTAGTCTTTCTTCAACCAATGATCAATGAGCCATTAAAACATCATCCCTTTTCCCATGTCAATAAATACCAGTCGATAGGTTTCCGAATCCTATTGTTTGTCAAAGTCTCCAGTCAATTCGTGGGTATAGGCGGTATAGAGGTTATAGGAGATATATCCAAACTTATGGGGATTACATGGGGATTATACCCAACTTATAGGGATTATACCGGGTTAATATACCCATAGTTATCTAAGTTATATCCCAACTTGGGATCTACAAGGTGGTGCCCCAGTTCGTGAACGCTAAGTTGGGGTTCACATAACTCCAATTTCACTATGGTTTATGGCAGATATATCTATAGTTAATGGGATTATACCCATAGTTTTGTAAGTTATATCCCAACTTGGGATCTATAGTTAATGGATGTTAATGGGATTATAAGCCATTTATAACTGATATATCATATATCTATACTTTTCCCATGGTTATGTTCACCAACGTACACATCACTGCACCACCTTGGATCTACTCCGTAGATCTAACGGGTTCCAGATAGTTCCAGAGTGCGCCCTTCCTTGGGGCAAGCCGGGCAAGTGCCTATCATAAAGTGGTGGCACCAACAAAGGCATCCTTTCACAACAAAGGTCCTATCAACTTCGAAAAACCTTTGAAACAAGCGCGGAACCTTGGGATTTATGAAAACTTTGCTGTTGGAACAGGTAACATGGAACAATAATGTCCTTTTGGTAAAAATAGAGGGGCCAATTGGGTATACCATCTATCATCATTTACTAAATTGTTAAAGGGGTTTGTGAAAAAAACACCCTCTATTAATCAACACACCAATGGGAAAAGGACATAAAGTGGGATCCACTTATTTTTTCCCATCATGCAGTTGACCATCTATTATATGATAGGTTAATTTTATGGTATCATTATCATCCATGATTATACTTATCATCCAGTCCGAAAATGTCGACCAAAGGACACTGAAGACAAAGACGATGAATGTCCCAACGCCACGCATCAAGTCCTTAGATTAGATCAACAGTTGCAAATGGTGAAGACCTCTAGAAGAGTGGTGGTTTCATGGTGGTTAATGGTGATTTAATGTGCGTTTGAGGCTGTTAATGGCGGTTTAATGGTGGGTTTAATGGTGAGTTAATGTTCGTTTGAAGCTCTTAATGGTGGTTTCATGGTGGGTTTAATGGTGAGTTAATGTTCGTTCGAAGCTCTTAATGGTGGTTTCATGGTGGGTTTAATGGTGATTTAATGTTCGTTTGAAGCTCTTAATGGTGGCTTAATGGTGGCTTTAATGGTGATTTAATGTTCGTTTAAAGCTCTTAATGGTGGTTTCATGGTGGGTTTAATGGTGAGTTAATGTTCGTTTGAAGCTCTTAATGGTGGTTTCATGGTGGGTTTAATGGTGATTTAATGTTCGTTTGAAGCTGTTAATGGTGGTTTCATGGTGGGTTTAATGGGACATAGGTCCCCTGATAGCCCAAGACTTGCGCGGGCCCGCGCGGGCGCCCGCGGGCTCGCGGGCCTCCGCGGGCCCTTCGCGGGCTCTCCCCGCGGGCCCGCGGGCCTTCGCGGGCCCGCGCGGGCCCGAAGGTTTTCAGGTCAGCATTTTATCGTCTATATCTTCTTGCATTCTGTCTGGCATCTGTGTCTAGCAAATCTTTTCCGGTATTTATTCTGGCAATCCAACAAATATTTTCAAATATATTCTGGCATAAACTAACATAGTCGGACCCGCGCGTTCTTTCTGGCATATCTTTTGGCGTGCTATCTGGCATATGTGTCTATCTGGCATAACTTCTGACAATTCAAGGCTGCCATGCTATGGCATCTCTTTTGGAATTCTTTCTGGCATACGTGGCTATTGTGTCTTCTCACTTTCAGTGTGGCATTCTATCTCACCCAGGCGCTTGTGATCCAGGTCGTTTAATGGTGAGTTAATGTTTGTTTGAAGCTCTTAATGGTGGCTTAATGGTGGCTTTAATGGTGATTTAATGTTCGTTTAAAGCTCTTAATGGTGGTTTCATGGTGGCTTTAATGGTGATTTAATGTTCGTTTAAAGCTCTTAATGGTGGTTTCATGGTGGGTTTAATGGTGAGTTAATGTTTGTTTGAAGCTCTTAATGGTGGTTTAATGGTGGGTTTAATGGTGAGTTAATGTTCGTTTGAAGCTCTTCATGGTGGTTTAATGGTGTGTTTAATGGTTAGTTAATGTTCGTTTGAAGCTCTTAATGGTGTTTTCATGGTGGGTTTAGTGGTGATTTAATGTTCGTTTGAAGCTGTTAATGGTGGTTTAATGGTGGGTTTAATGGTGATTTAATGTTCGTTTGGAGCTCTTAATGGTGGTTTCATGGTGGGTTTAATGGTGAGTTAATGTTCATTTGAAGCTCTTAATGGTGGTTTCATGGTGGGTTTCATGGTGGTTCACTGGTGATGAAAAATGGGATCCATGTATCTGGACAGGCTGACTTGGTGAACACGACTCCAAATTCACTTGGATTTACCCTCTGGTAAACTAACACTTTGCTTTTGAAAATGACCAAGAATGTTTCACCATCCCCATCCATCACCATGGATATCAATGATTTGGAAGAAGAATCCCTTACCCTCTGGTAATTTAACATAGCTAATTATTAATTATTGAAAATGACCCATCTAGTCCGTGGATTTTCCAATTAAAAATGGTGAATATTTCCATAGTTATGTTAGTTTACCAGAGGGTACAATGTTAATTACCCTCTGGTTATCTAACATAGCCATGGAACATGGTCCATTTATAGATGTTGTTTGATAAATTCCCCAGTAAGAATGGTAATTATCCATAGCTACGTTAAGTAACCAGAGGGTATATATATATATATCTTAACCCCCCATGTTCAGTAAATCCATTAAGTGATGTTAGCTGGATACAGTATATCGAACTACCCAATGGTGGTTGCAAACCAACGTTCACATTACTTGGGGGGCGTCACCTTTGTGGGGACTGGGAGTGATCTGCAACAGCCAACAGGAATAGTGGTTGATGGTTCAACCAACAAAAATCACTGGTTTTTACCAAACAAAATAAGAGTTAGTAGTTGATCCAGTAAACATGTCGCTGCCAAAGCAACACACATTGTGGTAACCAAACATCTTTAGACAAGAAACGTGTAGAACGTGTAGCGTGTAGCGTGATTCAATCAACGAAACATGGGGGCAAAACAATGATCCAACTGTGAAAACAAAGGAACATCTTGACCTCTACCCTCTGGTAATTTAACATAGCTATTGAAAATGCCCCATTTATAGTTGATTTACCTATGAAACATGGTTATTTTCCATAACTATTCTATTTACAATGTCAATGGTAATTTCAGGATCCAATTGATGGAGGTACGTAAACGTACCATCTTTCTGGCTATATATTTGTGGGTATATCCCCTGAAACATAGGCCTGAAATTTATAGGCCTTATATATGGTAGGTACCTCCAATCAATCGGTTCCTGTTGCATGGCCATTGATCATCCCTCATAGGAAGTGTAATTTATTCGTGACCCAAAAAACGTTAGTAGTTGTCCCGTTATAAGTGGGTTATATCATATATAAATGGCTAGTTGTATGTAGATGTAACATGTTGTTTCTATCATGGCCAATCTTAGCTTAGCTGGTGAACCTAGATAATCCCATTGCCAAAAGACGACAGTTAGGATTAGTCGCTACCGGTCCAGTCGATTGACCTAGTGTATATCTATTGTTGGTTTTATATACATTGTTGGTTATATGGAGGTTTCCTAAAATTATTCACCATGATTAACCATAACTCACCATGAAAATCACCATTATTCACCATAATTAATTATTTATATACCATCCAGTCGGTTGATCTAGATATATTCCCATTCCCATTATATTCCCATAAATAAATAAATATATATATATACATATATATATATATATAAACAGTTTATAAACAGTTTATAGCATTCCCATATATCTGGGCAAATGATAATAATTCACTAACCTGAAATGTTGCGGCTATCTTGGGGATCATTTCCCTTACTAACCATTATTCCAGGCATAGGGAGAACAGTGAGGTCGTGATCAAATTTACCCAGATATATGGATATATGGCTATAATTTACCCAGTGAGGTCGTTCACTAATATATATATATATATCTCTCTCTCTCTAACTATCAACCACTATTAACCACTATTTTCACTAATATATATCTCACCATATCCAATGAAATTACTCTGGGTATAACCTGAATAGTTCGGCCATTTGAGGCTGATTTCCCTAAAATAAACCATGATTTACCCAGATTTCCATATCCACATGTTGTAACATGGTAGTTTTTTCACATGTTGTAACATGGTTACATTCACCACCTTGCGATCCCGTAGGATCCTCCAAGCAGGCTTGGCCCCCAGATGAAGCCCTCGTGGGGTTGGACAATTTCTACCTTTAGTAGGTTGGACAAGCAATAAACCAATAAATATAGATTATAGATTATAGATTATAGGATTATAATATCTCCAGTAGGTTTTGATTATAAATATTGCTATTTTTTGGGATACGATAATAAATCAACGATCAATAATCTCGCAATACATATCAAGTTTACTCGGATTACCCATATGCTTCATGGTGCTGGTATATTTCCCTACAAAACATGGTGATTTTGTTTGGGCAAATGTTGGCAAATGTTCCATACACGGAGCATATGGGCTAAATATTATAAATCAACCTACTGATATATTGCTAGTGGTTTATTGGGATTAAATATTATAAGATATTATAAGATATTACAATATTTTATAATATCTCCCTTTTAACCAGGTAATATCACCCATTGGCAAATAACTATTACAACCAATCAACCATTAGTTATCAGTTACCAGCAATTTCTGTATATGTTTGATACTTCAAACCACTATAAATGATGCTTGGCTGTTCTTGAAACTATTTTATAATCACTTCTCCGTATGTCAAACCACATTATAGATTCACCGCATCATAATATCATTCTTAATCCCATTATATCATATACCAATATCCACCATTTTTGAAGGAATAACCCCCCAAATTATTGATGGAAAAATCGTGTTCACTCAGGAAATACCAGTGAGTTGATTCATAATCCCCAATAACCATCAATAACTCCAGAATGTGAGGCCCCCGTTCGATAGCGTTCAGTTGGGGTTCACACAACTCCAATAACTATGGTTTATGGTACGCAAATAACTATAGTTACTGGGGCTTTTGTTAACCAACGTTCACATCACTGGGGGGGGCCACATCGCACATTGCCCGATCAACAGTGCTACGAATCGTGGCCCATCCCACGAATCCTAAGTAAGTGGATTAACCCTAGTTATTTCAGTGGAAAAATGCCTACTTATCCGAAAAAAAAAAAACACCAGGGTTACTGGGCCACTTAGGATTCGTGGGTAGTTCGCCATCTAGAACTCCAGATAGTGTATCTTTATGTATCTTTAACCATTCACTAACAATATGATATTATATGATATTAAATCAGGATAAATCGTGAATAACCATAAATACAGTACCCAACAATATCTATAACCGGTCAACAATGCTATCTTAACGATTCGATTGTAGTGAAACAAAGCCACCGTCAACGCCGAATCATTCCATGGCTCTATAGGATCTCCAGCCCGGTGCCCAACAACGTCTTTGAAGTCTCAGCAACACGACACGGTGACGAAGCGAAGAAATGGCCAATGAATGGTCAATGAATAGATGACATGTGGAGTCAACAATGGTCAACAATGGTCAACAAGGCATGACGCTAAGAAAATAAGGTAAAATAACATGGTAAAACAGAAATGGTGGTATTTTTTTTTTCGGATTTTTGTTGCAATTTATTTGAGAATCTCAATGGATTTGATCGACAGATGGGGGATCTGGAATCTTAAGCATCGACTATTGGGTGATCACCTTGTTTGGCAGGTTCAGTTACCTGTCAAGTTGGTGAAAAAAGTGGGATTTCACCATCAAAAATGATGGGACATGGATAATTCACCAGCAATACATAGGAATTATATAAAAATGCTAAATGCTTCGCCACCTAGGGTGTTCAAGCGGCTTGTTGTAATCTGGTTTGCCATCTACCATCTCATACACTTTGCAGTAGTAGTTGTACCATTAAAATCCACTACTATAAACAGAACATCCATTGATATTCATTAACATCAGATACTAACCATTAATCATCATTAAGAACCATCATTAGCCATCATTAACCATCATCATTGATCATCACTAGTCATCACGCAACATCCATTAACATTCATGAGCTAAAGATATAACATAGATATAACATAGATCAATGGCCATTTCAGGAACCTAAATTGGAGGTACCTACCATATATAAGGCCTATTTTTCAGGCCTATGTAAGGGAATATCCCCAAAAAATATGGCCAGAAAGATGGTACGTTTACGTACCTCCATTTTAGGATCCTGAAGATCTCCCATTGAATAGATTTAACATCCATGAACATCCATTAAGATCATTCGCAACACCAAAAATGCTGAGTCCGATCTCTCCGCATCTCTCCCAACATCTCTCCCAAAATCTCTCCGAGAAACAGCCGGTGTTGAAGTGATACGAAAAGAAGATACCTGACCCCCAAATGGTGGAGACCACTAGAGTAATGGTGGTGAAAAATGGTGGTTGAATGGTGATTTAATGGTCGTTTGAAGGTGTTAATGGTTGTTTCATGGTGGTTTAATGGTGTTAATGGTGGTTTAATGGTCTTAATGGTGGTTTAATGGTGATTTAATGGTGATTTATTGGGACTAAGTATGATCAAGTTAGCCAAGCTGGTGAGCATCACTCCATTTTTTTTAGTTTGTGATACTTATAACTTATAGCTATAGTTATTGGGGCGTAAAAACCAACTTATACTTGGCGGGGACCCGCATTGCAAAAGGATGATTCGCCGTTTATAAATCGGTATCCTCTGCGGTCACCATTAACTATTTTTTTGTAGTGCATCAACTATTCTATTTACAATGTCAATGGGAATTTCAGGATCCTAAAATGGAGGTATTTTACCATATAAGACGGATGTTTTAATGAACAACTACTATTATAAATGATGGGTTTGCAATTGCAATGTTTGATTACCAGACGGTACTACGAAAGACATGACCAATTCATGACAAATCTTAGATACCAGGCAAAAAATGACAAATTCTTAGCTGGTGAACGTAGATAATCCCATACCAAAAGACGACAGTAGGATTAGTTTCTACCCATCCAGTCGATTGACCTAGAATTTTGGATGCTTTTAGGGTGAAAAGACACCCCCAAGCCCTTTCGAATCTTCAGGCGACGGTAAGGCTTTCCACACATGGATCCCCAATAGCTGGTTGGTTTTCATGGAAAAACCATGGATGATTTGGGGATAGCCCTATTTTAAGAAACCCATCATATAGCTATATATATATAATTATAATTATATATAGATATTGTATTCATGTTCTTTGGTAACCAAGATTACGTAGCAGAAAAAACAACGCAAGTTGTTTAAAAAAACAGGCAAGAGCCCCAGGCGAAGAGGATCTGACAGAAAACTCTGCTCAGCCAGGAATCCAAGAAATGGCATGTCACAAAAAAGGTGTGGGGGCCCCCAAGATAGCTAAGTTGAGATATAAGTGGCTGAAATCTGTGGTTTATGGTAGACACTACGAACTAGTTAATGGGATTTATAAACTTACCCTCTGGTCAACGTTTACATAGCAAAGTGGAAAATCACCATCTTATAAGTGGCAAATCATCGAAGTAAATGGGCAATTTTTTGTAGCTATGTTAATTTATCAGAGGGTATAGGATGGTGCCCCCCAGTGATGTGAACGTTGCTTTATAACCCCCATCAACATCATGAATACTAGTTCGTTATATCTACCCATAAACCATAGATTTCAGCCACAGCCATATCTCAACTGAACGCTATCGAACGCGGGCCCCATCCTGTACCATTTGTATTCGGTCCTGTAGATGATGTTTCTACCCCAAATGGTCACATTCCGTCGCTCTGTTAGATTGCCATGGGCAAATCCATATGTTTGTTGGTCAAACGGTCCTTGCTCTGGTGATTCAAATCCAATTGCCATTCTCGGAAGCCTCCAAAAGATGAAGAACCAATCATACTCATACAACTAATTTTAAATCTCGAAATTGGATCTTACCAATTTCGTCTAAAAATCGATCTTTTCCTTCACATTTCGGCCCAGTGTCGGCTCAGTTTCCTGCCAAAGTACACATAAGTCCGGAAGCAACAGCCACCACGAGGAAAGAAATCCTGACCGGTGGATCATGCCCCCGTGGAGCCCATAGGGGTGGTGATTTACAGAAGATTTTGAGAGATTTTGCTGCCCATATGCGAACCATGGTGCTGGTATATCAACACCTACATAACTGGGTGATTTTGTGGCAAATGTTGGTAAATATTCCAGCAACCATGGAGCAGGTGAGCCCATAAAAATACCTTTATCCCATCTCATACTGGTTGAGACGCGGTTCCCAGTTCATGGTAATAATATGTAATAATCCCCAACAAACCAGGAAGTTTTCTGATCCCCTGTGCTAATCAATCAAGAATGCTATAATGGTTCAAGTGATCTCCCTCAACTCAATCTACCCTCTAGGAAGCGGCTCCCCCAAATACTGGGCTGACTTGGGTTGAAGAGCTGGACAAAATGCAATGCTTCGATGGAGTCATAACACCACTTGTCAGGATTTGCGAAACATACCTTGGGAGTATGGATTCCACTCGAATAATGGGTGTTCTTTTTTAACACCAAATGGCCATCAAAGGCCGGAAAATTATGATGAACCATGGCATCTGGGGGTAGCCTATTTGCAAACAATCCTGCCTGATTTATGATAGTAAAGTTGGTTGATAGCATTTTATAACTAGGCGAACTGCTTAACGATGAACCATGGTGGATAGACCGAGCTAGTTAGATTCAAGGTTTCTTAACATGGGGGATCCCCAAAACCCATAAGTTTCAATACCAAGTCATGGCTTCCTTGTGGATGATTTGGGGGTACCATCACATTCCAGGAAACCGAGGTCGATGAGGTCCCACCGAAACCAACCATCGCCGGTGCCCCGGCAATTTATCCGACCCTTGCGGCAACCCGAGGCAAGAAACCAAATCAAAATTCGAGCACACTTTGAGAGCATCAAGATATAGGCGATCTCAGTGTGTTGTTCCGGAGAGGAATCATTTTTGAACTGGACAACTTTTTTTTGCAACACGGAGAAAACTGTGGATTTTTTAGAAAAAAACATATAGGGATTTAATTCTTATGAATTCTCCCAGAATCGGATAAATGGATTGCTTTCCAGGAAAATCATGCAAAAACCTGGACTGGATGGTAACAGCAATGGTTTCCTCTAACATTTAACATCATAAAAACGGGAGTCATGGATTTCGACATCAATAGCGCTCTTTGTACGTTTTCTGGGATTACAGAGATTTGTCTTGAGGCAAATCATAGTCTGGTTGGGGATGTTGAACACAAAAAATCGTCATAGGGGATCATCATGCCAAACATCTTTAAACATTGCAAAAAAAACTATTTGACATTACCAGCCAGATAAAAAATCCTGTGCCACTATCGTCCTTTTGGGAGAAAAAAAAGTGCCAGGTTGGTTTTAAAAAAAGTTGTTATTGTCCACCTATTGGTTTTCATGGGGGAAGGCTCTGAGACTACCTTGAGAAACGAAATCCTAAACAAAACACAAAAGCCTAAAACATAAGTGGATGTTACACAGGAAGGGGCCCCCAAGAGATACTATAGTTCGGTTGGTGTATAACAAACACAACTTGGATGTATGTTGCTGGTTCGACGGGGATACATAAACAAACCTATAGCTCAGGAGGGCCTTCCTCTAGCGTAGTTTAGTCATCCAAAGCACGCAAACCGATACCATGGTTTTCACACCCAGATTTGCCTGTAGTAGGGGGTCCCTGCAAATTTACCCTAAACCGCTTCTGGGACTGGTTGGTGGTTTCAACCCTGCAAAAATATGGGTTAATTTGGGAATCATCATCCCAGGGGTTTGAAACTTCACAGAGACATGGACAGCTTGAATGCTTGAATCAATGGCTTGGTTTTGTTGGGAAAATCTTAACCGGAAACCATGGTTTTTACCATGAAATATATGATGAAACTGGTCCAGTTCAATATGATCAATGCTGTACGGTTCCTCACAACAATGCAGACAAAAAACTCCTCAAGGGACTCATTTTTACCGAGACAATTCCTGACAGTAGACTTATCCGTACATTATCTGGTTGGTTCTGGTTGGTGGTTGAGCCCAACCCCTCTGAAAAATGATGGACTTCGTCAGTTGGGATTATGAAATTCCCCCAACAAAATGGAAAAAATGATGGACTTTGTCAGTTGGGATGATGACATTCCCCAATATTATGGAAAATAAGTTCAATTTCACTATGGTTTATAGGTGATATACCTATAGTTAATGGGATTATCACCAAGCATGTTCCAAACCACCCAAGCACTTCTTTTCAATCAGAGATTGTGAAAACCATCCCTTTGGATCCAGCTCAACCCCAAAAGCAAGTAACATGTCAAAAACAAGCTGGGGACCCATCTGTGATGTTTGGGTGATAAATTGTAAACCAACATCAACTAGTGTAACTAGTGCAATATATATATATATATGTATATATATATATATGTATATATATATATATCGTAATTCCTGAATTTCACCTAAATGTTCACCATTTTTTTTGTAACTTAGCTATCTTCGGGGCCTCACCTTGTTGGTTATAAATTCCATGAAATCTCATGAACATTCCCACAGCTATTACTTGTAACATCACCATCATGAAATCTATATGGCGTTGTGTCAAAACCTTGTACCCCTGGTGAACATCAAAATAGCTGGTAAATGGATGTTCATCCCCCCAAAAATGGTATTAATAGGTATTGATCCATACCCATATCTCTTGGGACCAGCTCATCTCCTCTGGAAGTTTGTTGAACGAAACGCCAAGGTTCAGAGAAACAAATCGAGACAAAAATCTTGGTACGCGGGCAAAGCTGGGTGCTGACAGGCTGACAGGTGGAGAAAACCTTCCCAACTGATGGCAATTTTAGAGGGAACATTACTACCGTATAATATATGTATATATTTATATATATATATATGTATACACCCTCTGGTAAACAAACATAGCTATTGAAAAGTGCCATTTATAGTTGATTTACCCCCATTGAAAATTTGGATTTTCCATAGTTATGTTAGTTTACCAGAGGGTGTATATATATATATATATGGTTGGTGGTGCAATAACCATCTTGAAACATATGACTTCGCCAATGGGTTGAAAACCCATATATTATGGAAAATATATTATTCATGTTTGAAACCACCAACCAGATAGGATATATACATATATATATATATATTGAGATATGGGAAAATGATGATCTCCCTCATCAATTTCTTGGATATCTTACATTTCAGGCACCTACATTGGAACTTCCTAATATATCCTAACATATGTAAGGTCTAAGGTCTATGTCAGACCCAAATATGAGAGAATATTTCGCAAACTATGGCCTCGTATGGTTTCTTGAAAATAGAATCTTCCTGACAATCGCGGAAGTGGAGCATCCAAAAATAACCTGGAACCCCAAACAAATGGGTGTCGCAGATGGTGTCATGATGAATTGTCCGGTCAGGGTTCAGGACTCCATAAAATGGGTTTCATATCAGTTTTCTTGGTGCAATCACGTTGGGAATGAATGTCTTACCCTCTGGTAAACTAACAAAATTATGGAAAATATGAGCATGTTTAATGGGAAAATCAACGAACTTTCTATGGCAATTTTCAATAGCAAAATGTAAGTTTGCCAGTGTCTTATGTCTTGGATTTGGGCAGGAAGAATTTATTGGTCACCGACGTTGCAAGTTTCAACCAATCCATTATGACATCATTACGGAGAAAGAAAAACTGGTCTCAACGCGTACATAGAATTTATTTACCCAATAACATTCGAGCATGGCTATTCCATGGTTAATGATGCTTAATGATGATTGATGATTAATGATGATGTTTATCTGGTTTACCTGGTTGGTGGTTTTAACCATCTTGAAACATATATAAACATATGAAAGTCAATATCTTGATTCACCTCCTTTTTCTTGGGTGTTCCAAGTACAATTGGCTGACATTAAAAACCATAGTCTGGTTGGTGGTATACCTTACCTACCCATCTGAAAAATATGAGTTCGTCAGTTGGGATGATGACATCCCAATATATAATATTATATATTATTGAATCTAAGGGGGATGGGATTGTATGAAGCCAAGATTGGGTATGGTTCTCTAGGTCATTCATTTTGGACAGAGAACAAGCGAATCGCTACAAGCTGGAGCCCAAAAAATGATGTTTGTTGGTCAACCATGATAAAAACCCGTGAACTACCCTCTGGTAAACTAACATAGCTATTGAAAATTGCCATAGAAATAGTGGATTTACCCATTAAAAATGGTGATTTTCCATAGTTATGTAAACGTTTACCAAAGGGTATCTTTTACAATTACCTCATGAATGGTTATGATTACTACACAAGTTATTGCAGTGATGTTCACCAACTTAGCTATCGGAGACGGGGCCCCACCTTGCAGGATACCGCATTATCTATCTATCCATCTATGTATACATCTAAGTATCTATATCTGTGTATAGATATCTCTACCATAAACGATAGTTACCCTAGCTATGTTCACCACCTTTTTGGGCCTCGCCAAGCCAAGGTGCTGAGAGCATATAGATGGGCCAGTTCCGAATGTACAGCCTCACCAATGAGATTTTGGGGTTAAGTTAAACCTTGATCAAACAGAACGCATGGTACCTGAGAAACAAACATGTTTTTGATATAGAATGGTACCATGTCATCAATGGGTACTATAATGAATACCTGAATGGTAAGCACCATCTCAACTCAAATCAATACTACATTATATGACTATGACTACATCATCATTATATGTATATATATATGTATAACATGTATAGAATGGTACCATGTCCATGCTGAACAAATACTGTTCCCTGCGCGGTTCGTAAGCTGTTTCAAGCCACATGGGACATCATGGGCCACACAACTGGTCATTCCGAGCACGAACCCATTTTCAGATAGGCCGCCATGGTAATTATGTCGATTTAGACCTGACGTTGCATGGGAATATCATCCATTTGCAAGAACGATGATTTCCGTGGCTAAGCGTAGCTATCTCTGCAATGAGGTTAATCTTTAGTAGAATAATATACTGTATGTCAGCATCAAAATGGCTACTTACAGTTTACCCTCTGGTAAACTAACCTAACTATGGAAAATCACCATTTTTAATGGGAAAACTCACTATAAATGACCATTTTCAATAGCTATGTTAAATTACCAGAGGGTAACCCAGTGAAATGAGAAATGTGCAATTCACCAACATTTTACCTGGTTTCTGCCTATTAGTTTGTGGCCTGCCTCACCATTGCTTGTTGCTTACTATCCGCAAGCATCAGCATACCTTGGAGCCTCACTGGAACCACCATAATCATGCCTTTCTCACAAGTAGAACTTCTAGGGACATCCAAGATTTAACACACCTGAGCCATTAAGAATACCCCTATCCCATCCTTTTCTTTACTGGCTAGTTGATAGGAATCCCGGGATCCCAGGATGATGATCATCTCAAGTTTTTGTTGAGTAAAATCCCATCGCATACAATCGTCAACCAGAGGTTTTGGACACTGCTCACCTATTCTTGGGTGGTTCTGCATTGTGAATATTGTGAGAACGGAGAACGTTGAAACCGCGCCGGAACTGAATCCTCTGCATACCTTCGTTAGTTTACATATTAGTTCACTTTGGGACACACATATATATATATAGTGATATAATATTTCATACATATTGACGAGTAAACCGGTACACATTGACTCACGATTACTTACTATTCACCTGCGGTTTATCCAGTTTCCACCCCAGCTCAGTGATTTGTCTCATATGTCCAATGTCCACCCACCATGTATATGTACACCATAATAATACAATATTATCATATATGGGGGGGGTTCCATAATGTGGGTACCCCAAAATGGGTGGTTTATATGGGCAAATCCTATTAAAATGGTTGATTTAGGGTTACCTCCATTTATGGAAACCCCAAATAGATTCAAATAGATTTAGATATCTTGGATTTGCTTGATGAATCCCAAATAGATAAAACATAATCTCTATAGATGCCCCAAGTAGTGGATTTTCCGATTGGAAAGTAAGAACTCATCATTCGGCAAATCCAAGTTTACAGTAGTGGATTTTCCCAAGTATATCTATATGTCTATTATATATATAATATATATATTTCTATAATGTCACAGCACCCTTCAACAAGGCTTAGCCAAGTAGCAACACGGTCAAGTTGGGCGGAGCCGTGGTCAAAGCTTTATCCTTTTCAGGGATCTGGAGGCAGATCAAAATATGAGTTCGTCAATGGAAAGGATGACATCCCATATAGTACCTGGTTGGAATATTTACCTGGTTGGTGGTGCAATAACCATGTTGAAAAATGATGCAGTTCGTCAATGGGGTTGGGATGACATCCCATATATGAAATGGAAAATAAAATTAATGTTCCAAACCACCAACCAGAAATCTTTGCCGTTTGTATACAACTTAGGAACACAACGAGATTTTGCCTTGCCACACTACTGGAGGGTAACAACTAAGATCCTCTTGCCACCCAAAATTGGGTGACTCTTGCCAACAATTGGCAATCATATGGAATATCGCTAGGTCAGAGGTACGCGTTGTATACAATTTACCAGGTTTACCGGCGTGCCTTCTGGTTGTTTCATGGGGGATTACGGTATCCCTCAGTTGTTCAAACAACCAGTGGCTACTATATTACCATTTTTGGATATTGCAACACAAGATGCGGCATACAAATTAGGTTCCTCCACTCATCGTCAAAACAAATAGTCTAACAAACCTGGTTGGTGGTATACCTACCCCTCTGAAAAATTATGAAAGTCAGTTGGGATGATTCCCAATATATGGAAAAATAAAATTCATGTTCCAAACCACCAACCAGAAACGGATCAATCTAGCAAATCTGGTTGTGTGTTTATTGGTCAACCCACACTGTCACAAGATACGAATCACCCTTGGATCAACCTCCAAGGAAGATGGGAACTGACAAAAAAATCAACAACCCACATTGCTTCTACATCTGGGGTGAAAATGCAATGCAATGATATTAGGAAAAATGATGGAAACATGATGTTATGCATCTCGGGTGATTTATGGGAAACATTATGGAGAATGAAGTGCCCGAAAATCCAATTCTATAGTCTATATCATCACTAATTGGTGGTTTCAACCCCCCTGAAAAATATGAAAGTCAGATTGGATCATCATCCCAACTATTGGGGAAAATCAAAAATGTTCCAAACCACCAACCAGATCATGTTTTCCATCAAACGACCAAATTCAAAGAGGGGAGGCCCCCTAGGCCAAATTCCACGGCGGGAGTCGTAGTCTTTGTACAGGTTAACAGCAAAGTGGATGTGCGGCCTGACATTTTTGGCAACCACGGATGTGCGGGACCAAGGAATATTTTTGTTGGTGGTTCATAACCGTATACTCCACGATAATGAGCTATATATATATGTGGAATATATATATATATATGTAATTTGTGTATATATATATATTAATATACGCAATATATGCAACATGTGCAATATTATATACATGCACTCTATATATATGTATGTATGTATGTATGTATGTATGTATGTATATATATATATATTTGTGGGACATTTACTATACCAAACCCAACTTGTATATCGGAGCCAATTGACCACTGATAGCGACAAGGTGGGGCCCTAAACGTTGACTAAGTGGGTGAGCATGACTCCAATAACTTTGGTTTATTATGGTTTATTACACTTATAACTTTGGTTAATTAATGAGGTATTATAGCGTTTATATTGTGCATTCAATACTTTAAAACTATAGTTAATGGATGTTATATAATGATATAACAATGAACTTTTAACTTGGGGGCCTCACCTTGTATGGTACTGCAAGGTCACTTCTGTGTCGGAATGGGAAGATCACAGTCGCTGTTTGCCAGCAATTGTCAGGACCAGCTTTGTCCCCCACTCCTAGAGGAGAACATCGAACCAGTTGTTCGTTCAGGTCATGTTGCCACCCAAAATGATCACAACAAAAAAGAGAACGTCCCATTTACCAACCATTTACATTTACACATATACTGTATTGACATATATATATAGATATATATATATATAGATATATATATAGATATATATATATATATATATATCTATCTATATATATATATCTATATATATATACAGATATATATATCTATCTATATATATATATATCTATATTGGTTGTCCCATGTTCTAGTTGGACAAATCCCTAAAAAAAACACCCCATGTTCTACAGATTCACCCACCTTGCATCCCTACCATCTAAGAATCCCGATCCTATCACCATCATCCCAGGTAGAGATGAACAACAAAGTCGGACAGCCCAAGCTGGAAAAACAAATCACAATCAAGATGTATGTATATATATATATATGTCTGTGTGTGTTATGTATATATTATTATATGTATATGTAATATGCATGTATTGATTATATATATATATATACCCACTGGTTGAGTTGGCATGTGCCATCAAAAAGAGTTTATGTGTTCAGATCCTGGGAATCCAAAAAAAGAACTTTATACTTCGCCAAGAAGGCGATTCCAATGGCTTATTTTTTTAATCCCCCAATGACTTACTGGTGCGTTAAACACGTAGGGTTGCTGGATGGGTTGCTGGATAGATCATTCCACCATTCCCTACGTTTAGCACCAGTAAGGTGAACCAGGTAGTAAGTTTAGTGTAACCCCGCAAAATGATCAACCAGCATTCATCAAAAAAAAACACCATGTTTGAATCTTTTTGATGGTGGAATCCGCACGAAGTTCACCGAAAAACCTTGGAATTGAGGCTTCTATCCCTGCCCTAAGAAAAAAAACACAGTAGTCCCCATTTCTGGTGGATAAATCAATGGAAAATGCGGAAAAAATCATCAAGCAAATCTAGGGCAATATGTAATTCACCAAGGGTAACAAAAATTGAGGATGATCCCCCCTACCAAAAGAATCCATCATTGGATGGTAAAATCAGTGAAATTCCCCTGGAACCGGAATCAAACAATTTATCGATTCAACAAATCCAAGACTATGTCGCACTATGACTATAGCTATATCCACAGTTCGACAGGATGGTGCCCCCAAACGTGATGTGAACGTTGGTTTAGATTCACCCCATGAATACTAGTTCCTTCCATAACCCTAGAATTCAGCCGCAGCCATATCTCAAGTGAACGCTATCGAACGGGGAGCCCATCTACTTTAAAACCTCCATTTACTTCGGGGATTTTTCAGCTCCCACAGGTTTGAGCTTTCGAGCTGCCTGCAAATGCAGCCTGGCGACGGCTGATCAAAAACGTAACCCCCAAAAAACAAAGGTTGGAAATCTGGGAATGATTAGGGAATGATAAGGGAATGATAAGGGAATAGTTAGGGAATGACTAGGGAATGATTAGGGAATGACTAGGGAATGATTAGGGAATGATTAGGGAATGATAAGGGAATGGTTGGGGAATGATTATGGGAAACCGTCATTGAACTACCATCTTTGTTTTTTCTATCTGCTTGGGGGCTTACTATAGATTGCTATCGTTCTGCCTTAGATTTCTTGGTTGTATCGGTGAAAATGGACTCAAACTGAAAATAAAATCCCTACACTATGATTTTACCAGTGCCACAACGTTCTTGCCACCATCAATCTCCATCACCGGCTTAGAAGCCGGGTATGTCTGGCTTAGCCCACGGTGTAATCTCACCACTGAGTTCATGTATATATATATATAACATTTTATAATAACATAATAAAATGTAATATATATATATGCATACACATGGAATCAATGTATGCATTACGTTTCCACAATACATATGTATGTGTATATATATACAAACAGATCTTCAATATGTATGTGTATATATATACACACTAGCACGTATTATGGTAGATTTGTATATAAATATATATGTGTAATATATATTCACAAATAAATAAAACTAAAATAATTATGATAGAACTTTAACAGCACACACATTGCTATTGAAAACCAGCAGCCAACACTCAGGGCGAACATGCGCAAAAAATAAGTCATTTTCCTCAATGGGATCAAATGTTCTGAAGAATGATGTTCCAGCTCCCAATCCCAGAGATGGGCATTGGATGTGTGCCTTGACACTTCTCAAAAGTGGTTTGTACCATCAAAAACGTGACCTTTCATTACCTGGCTGCTGCAACTTTGCCTTCTTTACCTGCCTCCAAAGGCCTCACCTCAAGGTTCTAGGCTGCTAACCCAGTGCCAGCAACATCCCTGTGTTCCAAAGTCGGCCTGCTAAGGGTTGAGACGGGTAATCTTGAACCCATTCCCATGCATCTGAAGAATTGGTATTTCCACCCACCTCGATCGGGCGGGGCGAAGGACCTTGGGATTACCAGCCCCCCCAAAAAAGATCTTATCCCTTCCTCAAAATATGAAACACAACCCTGAACCATGGTGCAAGAGGGGATTTACACATGTTTGGTAGCATCAGAAAATGTTTCATCTTTGAGGATGGGATTACAACAAAAATATTGTTCAATGATGTGGGAAGTTGTTGGGGATACATTGAAGTGTGCTTGCATCAAACTAGGAACAAAAACTTACTGAGATAACTTGAGACCTTACCCATCCGGTATTCGCATCATGACTCGAGCCGACTGAATGTGCTAATCCCATTTAATCCTCATGTTTGTTGGATAACCCCGGCTTAAGTTTAGAGTTTTCTTTAAAGATTGTTGGGAAATTCTCAACAAAGTGAAGGTTTTGTTGGATAATTTCCATTATCTCTTGGATAATCCCTAAACAACATGGATAACCCTCATGTTTCTTGGATCACCCCCATGATTTTTGGATAGTCCTATCTTGATTTCCCCGGAGCCGGTAAGCCTTTTGGATGTCTAAAGGCATCATGCTGATGAGATGCTGCTACTCCATCTGGAGATACCCCAGGAATACAGGCTAACTTGGTTTGTAACTCCACTTGGGTATGGTAGATCTATCAAACTACTTGATTCATGGGGGCTGTAAATGAAACATTTTACCCTCTGGTAAACGTTTACAGTTTGCGAATTGGAAAGATCCACCATCTTTAAGTTCGGTAAATCAACGAACTAGCTGTGCCATTTTCAATAGCGAACTGCTAGTCATTACCAGACCTTGGCCATATACATAGTCGTCGTATGGACCACACAGATTCAATCGCACTGCAAACAATCGCATTTTTCGGGAGCCGGGTTTTGACCCATTTCCATTATGTATATATATACACTATATATATACACTATATATATACAATATATATACTATATATATATGCATACTGTGTGTATATATATATAATATTTTTACACAGATATAGATCGATGATCAACATCCAACACAGGTTGGTACCAAAGGGTTACGCGACCGTAAAATCTGTGTTCCGAGTGACATAGCAAAGGCTCGACGTATTGAACGTTTCCTGAAAAACACGTGGCAGCCATGGATTTCAGGGGTCACAGATACAAGAGAATAGGGGAGTGTGATAGAATTGTCAAGCATCATTCGCGAGCTTAGAAACATGTTAAATTTGGTCATCTTCCCCCATATCCTTCAAAGCCTAGTGTTTAAATGTGGGTCTATGTTCAACCCGTAAACTCAGGAATAAAATATCTGCGTTCTATTCACTTTAGATATCCAGAGTTGTCTGTCCGTTTGGGTGGTTTTATCTTCACAGAAAACCCAGAACAACGGAGAACAACATGTATAATGTGTACCTGGAGGATCATGCGACCAAACGTAAATGCTTAATATCTGTGGTTCTGTGTTATTTATGTATAAATCATCTATCAGAATATCTGTATAATATATATTTATATATACATTTATGTTAGATACATATGATATAATATGATATATATATACATATATATACATATATCTTGATACATTGTAATAATTCACTGGCCCGGAAACAGAGAACCAGATGTAATAAATCCAGTGATGTCACGACGTGAGGCGTCAGCTCGCCACCGGAGTAGACATCTGTAGAGCGGCCTTTTGTAAGCCTTTGTGTACCTGGAGGACATCATCTTCATCATCGACTCCATACACCATGCATATAATATAATATATATATATATATATTCATTTATATTATGTATTAAATATATTTTATGATATATGGTATATATATAATATATATTATATATACATACATGGTTGGGGGATCACTTAGAGCACCGGAAAGTGGATCATTTAGAGCACCAAATCACTTAGGATGATGATGATGATGGTGATGATGTTGATGATGATGGTTGTGATGATGAAGATGATGATGATGATGGTGATGATGATGCAAGATGATGTACGATGATGTATGATGATGCATGATGATGTATTATGGTGTCTGATGATGTATGATGATAGATGATGATACATGATGATACATGATGATGATGGTGGTGATGATGATGATGGTGATGATGGTGATGATGATGATGATGACGATGGATGATGCATGATGAATGATGAATGATGAATGATGAATTGTGAATGATGAATGATTAATGATTAATGATGAATGATGAATGATGAATGATTAATGATGAATAATGAATGATGGATGGTGGTGATGATGATGATGATGATGCTTTTGGAGTCACACGCGAGATGATTTTGGAGTCACAAGCGAGATGATTTTGGAGTCACAAGCGAGATGTTTTTTGAGTCACAAGCGAGACATTGCCCTTCAGCGTCTAGGCACGTAAGAATGTGTCCATTTATGTGTCTGTGTCTCTGCGTATATACGTAGCTCTACCGCTATGTATCTCTTATGTGTCTGTACGTGTCACTTTTCGGCGTTCCAAGCGATCCACTTTCCGGCGCTCGAAGCGATCCACTTTCCGGCGCAAAAGAAAACGAGTTACATAGATTGTATACATGGGATAGCCCCAGTTCAGGCAAAGTCGCCAGGCTTATTCAGCACCACTTCGGGTCGGCTTGATGATCCACCCCCTGTTTTTCTGCTGTCCAGCTCCCCCAGAAAGTTTGCGCGGCTAGAAGGTGGTTCCCTTGCAGTGATGGAACGTTGGTGAACATAACCCACATGAATTTTCCTTCGTTCGGTATATCGGCCATAAACCCAGGTGAAATTGGAGTTATAAAACCAACGTAGCTGACTATGGGGCACTACATTGTATGATATATCCAATGTAGTTTCTTAGGGGTTCTAAGATTCTAGTAACCAACTTGCAACGAGGGCACACATTGTAGTAACCAACCTTGCAGGAACCATAGTTAGTTCACCCATTTATATATGGGATAACCCGACGATACCATCGGGGACTTCCGATCTCACTGGGAAGGGGTCGCGGGATAACCCGCGTGAAGCGGCGATCCGTGGGATGATCCAATCACCAAACACTGCTTGGGAATTATACACCTTGGCAATGGAAAATCACCTTTTTTGATGGGAAAACGCACTATAAATGGTCAGTTTCAATAGCTATGTCAAAATACCAGAGGGTAGTATTATAATGCTTTACAGTTGATAAACCAACTTGGAGGATAATCATCTATCATTACTTGGTTGTATAAATTACCAAACTAGCGAACAAAGTCTGGTTGGGAATGGCTGGGAGCCGTCATGTATTGGCGAACAGCAGCTAACACATTTGATGAAATTGACGCCAAGTGTACGACATCCTCATTCGATGGCACCATCTTTTGGGTCGCGAATATCCAGCACTCACAACGAATATACAGTGCTGCACAGGGCACGGAAGTCCCCTAGACTTATCCCATATCTAAAACTATATATAACTATGTGTGTATATTATATTATATATATAAGTATATAAGTATAAATGGCTTGTCTTCCAACTTTTGAGTTTGTTTTCACAACACAACCGGTCCCCTATATTCAGGTGCCTTTTAGGAAGGCCATTCTTGACCGAACGCAACGAAGCATCAGACGATTTACCCAGTGATCTATGTCCATGTTCCTATCTCATAGTTTCTAGTTCGTTGACAGGTTTCCCAATCCAAGTAGGGTGAAATCATACAATCCCAATATTCCCAGTAGTATAACTCCCGTTTTGAATTCTTTAAGGGATTTTTCATGGGGATTTTTCATGGGATAAACCATCTAGCAACTGGGGCAGGATTTCTGCCATCCCCTCAGTTCTGTTTGTTGGTCACCCCGCGAAAGAAAGTAGCTCGATATCTATCATGCAGCCAAGTAAAATTGGAGTCATGGTCATCAACTTCGCTAACTAAATCAGTCTAAATAATCATTAAACCATCACAAATCATCATTAAACCATCATGATGGATCCATGGCTGTCTGAGAAGCTACAAGACGCTACTTAACCATAGCCCCTACTATGTGGGGCCCCCAAACGATAGCTAAGTTGGTGAACATAACTCCAATAACTATAGTTTATTATACTTATAACTATAGTATTCATGGGGTTTATAAACCAACGTTCACATCACTGGGGGGGCACCACATTGTAGTCATACCCCAGTCGTACTTCCGAAGCGGATCCAGTGGCCCTGGATCCAGTGGCCCTCAGATGTGACCGAGTCGCAGGGCACTTGCTGACACAGATGGGATGTGTCAAATCCTGAGCTCAAACTCTCTGCAATGGAAAATCACCATTTTTAATGGGTAAACCTCTATAAATGGGCCATGTTCAATAGCTATGTTAGTTTACCAGAGGGTATCACTATGAATCGTTTGAACGTTGGTTCAATGGCCATGCAACAGGAACCGATTTATTGGAGGTACCTACCATATATAAGGCCTATTGTTCAGGCCTATGTAAGGGAATATCCCCACAAAAAATGGCCTTATATGGTACAGTACCTCCATTTTAGGATCCTGAAATATTCCCATTGATTGGTTACTATAGATCTTGTGTAATATGAATGTATGAACATTTTAGGCCATGAATAGTTTGTTTGTTGGTATAATATAAGTATTCATAGCCAACAACTATATAGTTTCCTATGGTATGTTTTGAAACAACACATATAGTTGGTTATATGTTCTTATCCAACTATACTGGCTGGAAAAAATCTATCCCAGTGTGAGTCAGTGAAAAAAATCCAAAATCAATCCACAATAAACCAAGAAGTGCATATAACATAGTATAACCCCTGGCTATAAGCAATCAACCATCCCATCAATCAACCATCCTGGCTATGAAAAAAACATCAGCGGTACATGTTGGGAACTGGTCGACTAGGAATCCGTCTAGCTCTACACCATTCACGAAGGCATCCATGGCGGATGACTCTGTACAAGCTAAGCTGGTGAACATATCAAGATTGATTCCTGGGTTTATGGTAGATATATCGAACATATTCCCATTGATTCCCATGAACATAACAAGATGGGGGTTTATAAAGCAACAAACATAATTGGGGAACCCCATCTTGTACGGGCTGCTGAGTCAATCATGGAACCGGGAGGAATTTGGCTACAGGAATATTATGGAATACTCCAAGGAAATTAGCACCCAACATGTGGTGTTCCGGGTATTCTTCCCTTACTGCATGCATCTGGGGGGGCATGGAATGAACCAACAATTTTCCGTCTTTTTACAAGTTTTGGAGATGGCCACCCCCAGGCCAGATACCCCTGCGAGTGAGAGTCAAGACTTTTGTTCTTCTCATTGAAGATGTGCTCGCTCGGTTTTTCCATGCAAAAATACAGATATGGCTTGTCCTCAGCGGCCCAGCAGCCATGTAATTCATGGGCTTTCCACCATCCATGTGATTTACATCATGAATACATATGGAGGTTTCCTAAGTCACGGAGCTACCCCCAGTTCTCATCCATTTAGATTAGGAGTTTCCATTATAAAATATGATAAACCATCCAGCTATTGGGGTACCCCCCCCATTTTGGGAAACCTCCATCCTGCATCAAAAAATGGTAAATAGTCCTGGGCAAATCATGTACCCTCCAAACTGGACAGCTGTACCATTTTGGAGATGTGGGGAGCTCTATGTACCCTCTGGTAAACTAACATAACTATGGAAAATAATCATTTTTAATGGGTAAATCAACGAACTAAATGGCCATTTTCAATAGCTATGTTTGTTTACCAGAGGGTGAACCACCTATTCTTGAACATGCGGCCACTAGGTCGACAAAAAGTTACCCAGAAGAATCAGCCATGTATATCATCCTCATTGGCTTTTCATCTTAGCTGGTTTTCTCATGTCTTGTCACTATGTTTCTTAGTTTTCAACGTTTCAGTCCTCTTGTTGGCAATAATCATTCCAAATGCACACGGTCTTGTTCTACTTGGTGGTTTCAACCCCTCTGAAAAATATGAAAGTCAAATGGGAAAAATAAAAAAAACAAATGTCCCAAACCACCAACCAGTGTTGGTTTTCCCAAACAGCCTGCCTGTCTTGTTTTCTGATGCAGGATTCTGAATGACCAATGTGTTTTGTAAGACCCCCAGGAGTGGATCATGTGAAAAAATGCTCGGCCATGTGACGGTGTGTGATCTGGAAACGAAAACAACAATCATTACCCTCTGGGAAACTAACAGTTTGCTATTGAAAATGGCCATTTATAGTGGATTTTCCCATTAAACATGGTGATTTTCCATAGTTATGTTAAAGTACCAGAGGGTACAAACCTGACATCTGCGACATGGGATGTGCAAATCCTAGCCATCTGCTGAAACCCTTGCGGGGTCGCTAAGAAAGTTCTTTGCCATTGCCCAAAAGACAGTTATGCCCATCAAAATGCGAACAACGACAAATGCTTCTTTGCAAAATACCATCTGTTAAACTAACATAGCTATGGAAAATCACCACATTAAAATCAATAGGTAAATCAATTGTTGGCAATTTTCCATAGCTGTCTTAAATTACCAGAAGGTATCCAACACTAACAATTTTCTCAGAGCAATTGCCTAGATCTTGTTGCTTAAATCCTCTGATGATTTCTGTCCCATTTCTGTCCAATCTGTCCTGATAAACAGGTTATAACGCCCATAATATCCCAAGCCTGTTTCCGGTTTATGCCACCATAAGTTTGTTAGCTGCATATCCCATAAAAGCCCTATGAGCCCTCAGCAAAACACAATTAAATCCTATATCAATGGGAATTTCAGGATCCTAAAATGGAGGTACTACACCATATAAGGCCATATTTTGCTGGGATATTCCCTTACATAGGTCTGAAATTTATGCGGTATATATGGTAGGTACCTCCAATAAATCGGTTCCTGAAATGGCCATTGACTATTTCTATATGCCTGCATATCAAATGGTTCCTTTTACCAACAATAGTGATACCCTCTGGTAAACTAACATAGCTATTGAAAATGGCCCATTTATAGAGGATTACCTATTAAAAATGGTGATTTTCCATGGCTATGTTAAATAACCAGATGGTAATCCACTTTTTGGATCCATAGGTAAAATATGGCAATTTGTGAGTCATTGGGACTTTCTGCGCATGTTGCTGCTTGTATCTCATTGATATCCATTGCCCTCTTGTAAACTAACATAACTATGGAAAACCATGTTTTATGGGTCAATCAACGAACTAAATGGCCATGTTCAATAGCAAACTGTTAGCTTCCCAGAGGGTATCCCAAATAGTTAAGTGATACAATTCATGGGGAATTCCCATGAAGTGCTTATTCACCACTATCAACCACTATGAACCACTATTTTCACTGATATATATCTCACCATATCCAATGAAATTACTCTGGGTAAATTATAATCTTTCACTAACCTGAATAGTTCGGCCATTGAGGATGATTTCCCTAAAATAAACCATGATTTCCAGTGAGGGAGAATAGTGAGGTCGTTATAATTTACCCTGATATATGGATACATGGTTATAATTTACCCAGTGAGGTCGTTCACTAGGAATTATATATCTCACTATCAACCACTATTAATCACTATTATCCAATGAAATTAAGATATCCGCCATCTTTGGACAGACCAAGGCTGAAAAGTCAGTGATGAACTCACGAGGCGAAGGCTTAAAAAAAGTCGCCATTCGGAAGCGGCCACCGCAGTCGTGTCCTTGGCAAATGATGAGAACATGGGTGTCTACCAATTGAAATATTGGATCATTGGTCTTAAACAAGGAAATCATGATTTATACATGTATATATATATATACTAATTGGTGGTATACCTACCCCCCTGAAAATTAGTCAGATTGGATCATCATCCCAACTATTGGGGGAAAAAATGTTCCAAACCACCAACCATATATATATATATATATGTATATATATATATATATTTGGGTTTTGTCATAGATAAGTTGGTTTACAACTCGGTTTACTAATGGTTGGTGGATGTTTATGCTATCTCGGATCGGTCTAGTCATGAAGCTGCAGAAGCATGGTGATTGTGGATCGGGCCCCTCGGTTATGTTTGTTGGTTTATAAACCGCAGTCATCTATGGAAAATCTATGGGAAATTCATGGGAAAATTGTTTATTAACCCTATGAATACTACCTATAGTTAGATAGTTCGTTATATCTTCCATAAACATCAACAAAAACCATAGTTGACCTAGTTATGTTCACCATATAGATAGGTTACATCCATATTCGTTATATCTACCTAAATCATCCTAAATCAACCATGGGTCATTCAGCCACGTATCCATATCTCGTTTCTGAACGCCAAAACGCTATCCGCTATCGTTTACGGGGGGCCCATCCTGCAGGTCCCTGATGGGTGAAGTTATCCCATGAAAAGATGTTGGTTTTCCATAATTAATAGTGGTTAATAGTGGTGAATGGATGGTGAATAATAGATAATAATGTTTATAATGATGATTAATGATATGATACCCTCTGGTAAACATACAAAAAGCTATTGAAAATGGCCATAGAAATAGTGGATTTTCCCATTAAAAATGGTGGATCTTTCCATAATTAGTTATGTTAGTTATAGTGGATTTTCCACGAATCCTAAGTAGGTTATAACCCTGGTTGTTTCAGTGGGATAAGTAAGGGCAATGCCCACTGAAATAACTAGGGTGGACTAACCTACTTAGGATTCGTGGGATGAGCCACCAAGTACCAACCAGCCGTTCAGTGGAGTGGTCCTCCAAGTACGCATAAAAACAGTACTTCTTATATCATACATTTTTGGTAATATAAGCCATTATACCGTATACATCCGTATACCCTATTGTAGAATTATCATCAATGTATGGTCAAAATTTGTCAAATCCATTTTTTCATGGTTGATATTACCCAATTTTACCATCTCATCCACATTAGATGTTCCTTGTTTGGGGTTTAGATGGGATTTCCACATATATCTAATTAGTAGTATACCTACCCCCCTGAAAAATATTGGTCAGATTGGATCATCATCCCAACTATTGGGGAAAATCAAAAATGTTCTAAACCACCAACCAGATATGATCACTATTACACCTCATCCCCTTTGGTCTGTCTAGATATCCAGGGTAAAGAGGAAAAGTCAGGTAAAGTTAACCGTGGTCCAGTGGCGTTTAGACCAGTAATCACAGTAATGGAGATTCATCAAGTTCAGGTCAATCACCCAAACGTCGTTGTAGCCAATGTCATGTTTAGTGTTGATGACATCCCTGATTTCGTTGTTAATGGCCAGGGTTATTCCAGCTCAAAATGTTCAAATAGTTTTGGTAATATCTCGTGGCAAATCAAAGATACTTCGCAGGAAACAAAACACTTTGGGTAAAGTAGCGAAATTCAAAGTTTTCAATCATTACATGACTTATAGATACTTATAGTAACCCCCAAACGAATAAACATGTAAAGTAACATCCCACAAAAATATTGACCAATTACTTTTCCAATTTTTTTGGGCTTGCTATGTGCTTTACTAAGTAGCGTTTGCCAAAAAAAAATACCCAGACATAACCCAGCATTCGCCAAGTCGCCCATAAAATCTGGCAGTCGAAACAGTGCACTGAGATTGGCATGCATATCCCTGGGTTTGTCGATCGTGCAAGTCGCTAGAGTCTTGAAGTAACTTTTCTTAGAGCCTCCGTTTGTACACATGAAAAAAAGGTAAGCAATCCCAAACATATATAAAACATATGTGGTAGAAAATATCATATGGTTATATGAGTTATATGACCTAGGGATACCTAGGGCTAAATCCCATATTTGTTTGTGAAAATCACCATGTTTGGTGGTGAAATTACCATCACGCTGGTGGTTGAATCAGCAGTGCAGCAACCGTCCTTTGCCTGTTGTACAGGATTAAATTGATCATATTCCTGGGTAATTTATAAACTAAATGTAGTTTATCATAGATATATCATGATATATCTACCATATATCTGGGTGAAATATAATATTCACTAACCTGAATTAAGGCCATTTGGGGATGATCTCCCTTATCCAGTGAGGGAAACAGTGGCCCAGATATTCCGATTTTCTCTCGATGCATCTTTAAGTTGTTTCGAGAAATTTTAAAATGGTTCACTGCACGGTGCTTTAACCATCATTTTGTGCTAGTTTACTTATCTAATGATTAAACAAGGTGGGACCGTTTCCACGAAAATGTAATGATCAAAGACAACCAACAAGATCAGTTTGCACAAGACTTCTTAATCATGATCTACTGAGTCGAACATAGGTTTCATGATTACAAGGTGGGCCCTATAGACAGCCAAGTTGGTGAACATAACTAGGTGAATTTTATGGTTCATGTGGTGATTGTCACTATAGTTACTGGGTGTTATAAATGGTTATAAGCTAGTACACCTAAACCTAATGGTTGGGGGGCACATTTTGTTTCTCTTCTCACGATTCTCAACCAGTCGATGATCCCATGATCAAACAGTTGAACCTTAATCGTGATCGCCAATCTTGGTTCGTTCGCTGCTTGGGTTAATATATGTCAATATGTCCCAATTTAAAACGAACAGATATTAAATTGGATGACTAAACTAGCCATCCAGTTGGTTTAGCCAGTCACTTAACATATTGCTATGGATTGCCATGCTTCAATCCCAGATATCATCATATGGCTATGGATCAATACCTATCAATAGCATTTTGATGGGGATGAGCATCCATAAATCCCAGCTATTTTTGTGTTCACCAGGGGTACAATGTGAGGCCCCCCAGATAGCTAAGTTGGTCAATAACTCCAATAACTATGGAATATTATACTTATAACTCCAGTTGTTGGGGTTTATAAACCAACTTATATCTGGGGGGGCACCACATTGTACAAGATTCTGATTCTATGAATGTTTACGGATCCGCAAAATACCGAAGGTTTCCAGTCACTTCGATCCCTCCGATGTGCTCAAACATGGCAAACATGGCTCGGAAATCCCTGGTAACTAAATGAAGGTTTTGATGGGGAAATCATGGGAAATCATCTTTGAATGGCGCCCGCGCCTGGTATAATGTCGACCCTAGATTAATAAACCCCGTTTACGGCCGTTTAATTGGTGGAACACCATAAAAAAAGTATCAGATGATTTATGACTATTTGGGGAGTACCGTACTACCCCCTAATTGTCATAAACCATGGTTGAGTCTCACCCGGGGAGGACATTAAAACCTCCATGTGTAGATGGTTTTCCCATGCGAAACCGTCGATATCTGTACAATGTGAGGCCCCTGTTCGATAGCGTTCAGTTGGGGTTCACATAAGTCCAATAACTATGGTTTATGGCATTTAGAACATTTATAACTATAGTTACTGGGGCTTTTGTTAACCAACAAACAGCTATCTTGGGGGCCTCACATTGTATAATTCTGTATAACTCTTGGACCATTTCTAGATGATTCCCCCCATAATTTGGATCATTCCATCATTCCGGAAAGCGACGGAAAGCGGTCGTGATCAAAATTAATCCTGATTTCCCATCCTAAGTGTTGGCCATCCATATCCCATGAAATATCCACATCAAAAATCCCAACTCATTGGCATTACCCTCTGGTTATTTAACACAGCCATGGAAAATGGTCCATTTATAGACGGTTTACCCACTATATAATCCGGCCGGCGGCTTTAACATGTTTTAAGCATCTTGAAAAATTATGGAGTTCGCCAATGGGAAGGATGACAACCCATATATGAAATGGACAATAAAAAATGTTCTAAACCACCAACCAGTATGGTTAATATATATGCCACAAGTATCCCATTAAACCTCGACATATCATGGTTAAATCACCATTCATTTGTGCTCTCAGGGCGTTGAATTTGTGACCCATACCAAAAATTACCAAAACCGCTTCGTCTGAACATATGGTACCCGCTGCTAATCAAATGCGGCCATGGAAAATCTCCCGTGCATCGCTGATTTTACCAGCAAAACATCTATTCTGGTTGGTGGTATACCTACCCCTCTGAGAAACATTAGTCAGTTGGGATTATTATTCCCAATACATACTTGGTGGTTCATCCCACTTAGTAAGTAGGTTATATCCCTGGTTTTTTCAGTGGGATAAGTAGGGTTAATCCACTGAAATAACTAGGATTATATCCTACTTACGATCCGTGGGATGAGCCACCAAGTAGAAAAAAAACATGTTCCAAACTACCAACCTTTGTATTTGTAACGGATTTTAAACTGCCATCAAAGAGATTACCATTTTTTTTCATCCTAAATCCATGGTCCATGGGTTTTTCATCACAAAACCGTTTTTCAAATGGCCATAAAATAGGGTCAAAGTCACTGTTTGTTCAGACACACCCATCTATCAGTTTGTGGATTATGTATCCACGTAAATCCTGTTAATAAGCCATTGAAATCCAGTTGAAATGGACGAACCCAATATTGTTAGTGATATATCATGATATTCCCATTCTAGTCCCATTTCCCATCAAAAACCTATGATATTTTCCCATTGCCAATGGAACCTTCATAGATTTTTCTGGCTTAATGGGCATATATTGGGAATACCATGTGAAAATTGTTTCATTGCCAATCTGTTTGGTGGTGGTTTCAACCTACCCCTCTGAAAAATATGGAAATTCACTTGGGCTTACTATTCCCAATATATGGAAAAATATGGAAAGTCATGAAATTCATGTTCCAAACCACTATTCCCAGCAACGGTCTTCCCATCCAAAATAGTGCTGAAATCCCCCAGCGAATTTCCTCGCACGATCCGGGGATCGGCAAGTTCTCGTTATCCAAGTCTCGAATGCCAGGTGATGACACCACACATCGCGCCTGGAGTTTTTTGAAATCTTTCGGGATTGGAACAAGGCGGATATCATGGGAGATCTTGACACAATCCTATGGAAAGTCACCATTTTCAACGAGCATTTTCCATAGCAAACTGTTGGTTTACTGGAGGGTAACTGTTTTTGAGGCTCTTGTTGATTCAAAAAGAACACCGAATCTATGGGCACAACATGAAGTGACGATCTAAAAAAAACTCCCATTCCTCAACTGTTTTAGCCCCATCTTTCGCAGTGATATCCAATGAACCATACCCAAAAATTGTAGTAGTGGCAAGGCATGGCAAGGCAGAAAAAAATGGAACCAGTGGACACCAGTGGGCACCAGTGGACACCAGTGGGCACCTGGCTTGCTTGGAGGATCATCCCACATAGCAGCGACAGGTAGGTTATCCCATTTATAACTGGGTCATAAGCCCGTAAACTAACTACTTACTGCATGGGATGATCCTCCAAGAACTCTATAATGATTATAATGTCCTGAGACAACTGTTTGATCTATGTAAATCCAACTCTATGTATTGGAGGTATATGTTTTTTTTTTTACATATGTATATATATATATATCATATATCACCTATACTTGCCAACATATATAGGTAATTCCACCGATATGGTAACCTCATTCTCAAACAGACACGCATGTAGCCGACATTAAAACCTTGTACTTGGAGCCATGTTGGGGTGGATTTACTGCCATGTGAATGAAACTCATGTTGGGGACCTACAGACATTTAGTTGAAGTGATGAAAGTTGAAAAGGTCCGTCTGTGGGCTATTGAAGCGCACTTCATCCACTCAGTCAGCAACCCCTGAGCGATACGGAAACCTCCTGCGATCCGCAGCGATTTCTTCAGACCACTCTTCAAAACAGCGTTTCAAGAATCGCAGAAATTCTTGTTTTGAATCTAGTTTGTCACCAGATTGAAATGCACCGTGGTTGTAATTGCAAAGGACCGTGAGTGTTCTTCCATGTACCAGCTTGGCGGGCCCATCAGGCCCACCAGGCATTCCTCAATGGCCTCAGCAATTCCAAAGCGTTCCAATAGTTTGAAGCAGCTTCGCACGAAATACCATCTAAACTAACAGTTTGCGAACTGAAAAATCACCATCTTTAATAGGGTAAATCAACATAAATCAACTATTTCGACTGGGCCATTTTCCAGTTCGCAAACTGTGACAGATTACCAGAGGGGGCCAAATCTCCATTTCAAAGTGTCCACAGTGCGGAGAAAATGCCACGACTTTGTGGCAGAAGGCGTCTCCTTGTCTACCTTGCGTTCTTTCAAGATCAAATTTGGAACGCTTTTTTTGAGAGTAATAGCAGAACTAGTACTGTTAAACCCGTCCTCTATTTTGGTAAATGACCACCTTTGCAGACAACTCTTTCAACGTTTAACAATTGTAAATGGCTAGCGCAAAAACCGTGTATCAACGCTAAGCCGGCATATCGGATAGTGATCCATCTAATTTGTCGATCGCGGTACAGGTACCCCTAGATCCAGTGGTTGCCCTCCTGTAAACTAACAAAAACTAACAGTTCGATGCGGAACACCCACCATTTGTAGATCATTTTACTAGGTACAGCATGTGTTTTCCACATCTTTTTGTATGTTTACCCTGGGATAAACATCAGTAATTATCCCTATTTGATGGCGACAAAAATGGGCTGAAAAATTCACCTTTGTATCAGACCAGCTGCCAGCTGTGGTTTGAACACAGATCTTCTCTTCAGCGACTTTTTGGATCATCCCTAACCGAATCGTAAGTGCTTACAGTAGCAACCATAGTTCGCCCATTGATAAATGGATCAAAATTGGGTACCCAATTATTGGATTGTATTTGGATTGTTAACATAAAAATACATAAAACATTACTATACATTTTTTTTGAAATCTGGAGGAGACCTCCAGGTCTTGAATATTGACTCATACTCATATGGGATAAGTCACGATCTTTTTTGGATGATCCTTCGAGCAAGTTACAGCGTAAATCATTTTGCCAAGGAGCAGTTCAGGAGAAAAGGGACCTGAGATTTGGTCCCACTACGACAAAGTGATGGAAACCAACAACTTGGGTGGAATATGAATAGTTTCGAAAACTAGAGATTCTAAGCAATGGTAACGGAAACTTTGTGAGAAAAGACCGGGACAGGAACTAGATGAACTAGTGAAACATTAAATGGTGACTTCGCCAACAATAACCTGCATGTAAATGTACGGCCGACCAGACGACAAAAATGAGAATCCGGCAACAAGAATGTTCCAACCATGATGATTTCAATCACCTAAGTCGCAGTACATTTGGTCAACATATATATATATATATTAGACACCAGCACCAGCATACATGTCAGTCTGTGTGTATGTAAGTATATATATAATTATATATATATATGCTATGGGTCAAAATTAGGTACCCCAACAATTAGATGGTGAATGCCAAAAATCAACTAACATGTGTGGTACCCCAGGTCTTCAATTTTGACCCATACCCATATATGTCACAATACATGTCAGAATATAAGAGAGAGCGTATGTCAGGACACATATCAGAATCTATGCGCCGTAAACTTGGTATATATATATATGTATATATATATGTATGTATATATATATACACAATGAATATGCATACAAGGTCATACCAGAATTTATGTCAGACTGCGAGGATATTAAATGTGTATGTATGAATACTATCATCTACTGTATGTCAGAAACATGTCAGGATAAATATCTATATACATATATACACAGCTCCTACGTGTAGATTTTGTAGAAATATGCATGTCTGATTCCCATAATCATCATTTATGTCAAAAAACATGCCAACATTTATACTATATTATATGACTATTTAAACTTTGCAATAACAAATATATATTATATATATGGACATTATAAATACATATTTACAACATGTTGTGCCAACATCTTTGTCAGAATGTTTGTGTCACAGGGATTATCAGGTAAATCATCTCAAATATGCAAAAAATCTAAGATAACCTGCAAGCAAAGATGAAGTTCTAGCTGGTGTCCAAAACTTAAACCTAAGGCAACATGGGAAAACCAATGGATTTCCATATCAGGTGTTACCGTTTTCCCGAGGGTATACCCACATATCATCATTTATCAATGAGGATTTCCCCTGTTTTGATGGTTGAAACCTCAGCGATTCAATCCCAATGATCCCCAAGTCACCATTCAAGTATTTTAAAGGACATAATATGAGTTGGGGATCCTAAAATAACCTTAAAATATATGTAACACATATGGGGGATTAAAATGATCCCCAAGTCACCATTCGATTGTAACCTCCAACCTGGCCAATCACTCTCCATTTCTAGCAACAATCCAAACGAATGGTACCAGTGGCTCATGGTACCACATCACCACCTTCTCAAACGCTGCAAAGGAGCAATCCAAAAGCAATCGGTACATCTACGCACGACCGTCACCTGATATTCACATGAAACTCACTTGGATTCACCAATTGTTCATATCCCAAACAACTTGGGTCTTGAACCATCGGAAAATCTGTTTTTTTCACTTATTTGCAATAATGATATGTTGACTTTATGCAAAGTTACTATGTCTGGATCTATCGATCCAATCGATCTAATCGATCTAATAGATCTCATCGATCTCATCGATCTAATCGACCTAATCGATCTAATCTATCTAATCGATCTAATCGATCTAATCGATCTAATCGATCTATCAATCTATCAATCTATCAAACTATCAATCTATCTATCTATCCATCTATCTATCTATCTTTCTATCTATATATATATATATATATTACAGATATCTTACCTTATCTTATCTTATCTTATCTATCTATCTATCTATCTATATATATATATATATCTTATCTATCTTATCTATCTTATCTATCTTATCTATCTTATCTATCTTATCTATCTTATCTATCTTATCTATTTTATCTATTTTATCTATCTTATCCATCTTATTTATCATATCTATCTTATCTATCTTATCTATCTTATCTATCTAATCTATCTAATCTATCTAATGTATCTTATTTATCTATCTATCTTTCTTTCTTTCTATCCATATATGGGCATACATAATATATACATACAGTGCATGTATGTAAAGGAGACACACCAAGGCAACAATGGGGAACCTAACCAACACGAATGAGGTGCAAACGAAACATCTGATCTCCACTAATTGTGTTTCTAGCATCAACAGGGTGACAAATCTGCACGCTGATTTGCAAATGGGTTCCAGAGGCTAAGTCAAAATGTCTTTGCAAACTGGTCCTGAAGCACATAGGAAAACAGAAAAGTTTTTTTGTTTTTTTTTATGCGCTTCATTGCATTTTCATACATCTGCAGAGCCAAATGATAATATCAACAAAATCTGGTGCAAAAATCAAATCTCGATTCAGGGGTGGATCTGTTCATCTGGGGATCCACTATTGACCTGCCATTTTTTCAATGATGGGATTTAATCAAGTAATCAAATAGGGATTTATTAATCGTTACACTGTTGTTATGGGTAATGATAGTGATGTGATGTCTTTTTTTTCAGTTCATTAATTGATATAATTGATTGATAGTGATGGGATCACCAATTGTTGTAGAAACGATGGGATTCTTCGGCTATGTCAACAATTATGGATGTCGCACATCCGTTGCCATCAGCAGCATCCAGTTGTCCACTCGAGGGGCACATCGGATAAAATTATCTGGGGACCGACACAATCTGGTTGGTGGCGCAATAACCATGTTTAAAAATATATGGATCAATCCCAGCTATTTTTTTGCAAGAGAAGGATACCATTTCTTTTGGCCATAACCACATATACATATACTGGTTGGTGGTTTCAACCCCTCTGAAAAATATGAAAGTCAA